TTTTGCTCCATGCTCTGAAAGTTTGCTCCCGAGAGTTAAGCTAAAAGTAGAGCCCTGTCACACATACATCTTTGATCATGACGAAGGGAAAAAAGAGCTCATTGGCTCCTTGGTACCTGCCACTCCAGCCACCTTTACTCCCATGCCAATGGATATCAGCAAGGTAAGAATAAGCACAGATCAATCGTAATCCCTAAAATGTGTTGTATTGTTAAATATTTAATATGCATGCCTCATTAACGCTTTAACCACATGAATAGATTGTTAGTGCTGAAATGTACCATTTTGATGTAGTTTATTTACTTTTTCATGAATACTATTTTCTGGTAGGTGGTACTGCCTGTACAACTTGAGGTATCCGAGATAAATTGGCAGAAAACATCCATGAACTTTGGGCAATGGACAGGATTGATCTTGGATGGACATATGGACCTGTAAGAAAATTATATTGCATAAAATAAATAACAAATAGTCATCATAGAGACACCACCTTGGCAATATCAAACTGTCACATACTTTGTAAGAGAATAGTACAATTAAAAGTTTGTACTTGAACCTGACTGTCCTAACTTACCTCTATTTCTACTTTATTTTTTAGTATTATTTTCTAAATGTAAGCTTTTGTTCATTAGGTGAGAGATGAAACAAACAGACATGATCCTCTCTGGTGGAGTTTTCCAAACTTTCAGAGCAGGGGAGGAACCAAAACCTTCAGATGGCTCAAGACACTCTCAGGTGAGCTCTACTATCTGCATTGTGCAATAGCCTATCTTTTTTCTCTACCACATTATTAACAGTAAATACTTTATTGAACACTTTATAGATGAACATTAACAGACCTTCTACCGTTCAAATTTTACTCTTACAACTGATCATTATAAGCTTTGTGCTAGGGGTTTGTTTTCATGTTTCCTGATTGTTTGTGTTTGCATTGGAGGACTCTGCTTGCCTTTGGTTTCCACATGGGCCTGACTGATTCCAGCGCTGAGAAAGAGTCAAATACATGAGAGTGGCTGCCAAGTATGTACATGGTTAATTTTACAGCTAAATGCTTGTTCTTTTGAGCCCTTGCAAAAAGCATGGACTGGATTTAAAATGTCTGCTTTTGTCATGTTGTTGTTGCCACTTGAAGTTTAACCCTTGAGTATAATTTGACACTCATTTACATTTTTTTCCTTCTGCTTCTTAGGTATGAGCAGCCCAGTGGCTATCAACCTGCCCCATTAGACCTAAGGCAGGTTTTTCTCAGCCCAGCCCATGAGGAATTGGTTAACTTGCTGGCAGAGAATGATCACAATGTATGGGCCAGAGAGCGTATCAAGCAAGGATGGACCTACGGAGCCCAACAGGTTGATGTTCTGTGCCCTTTCTTGCACTATAATGGAGAGAAAATGCATTCAAACGACTTCTTTTCAGTCAAAATATTGCTTAACTAGTTATCAAAATAAAGTAATATTTTTTCTGTATATTGTCTCAATAAGAGAAAAGAAAGAAAATCCCAACAACACACTCTGTCAACAACAACAGTGATTCTGCTCAAAAATAGTTACACATCATTTCTCTTTGAATCTGCATTTTCAGGATGTGAAAGCCAAGCGGAGCCCGTACCTTGTGCCATACAGTCTTCTTGATGAAAGAAGAAGAAGAGTGAGCATGGAGAGTCTTAAAGAGACTGTGTGTACCCTGTTAGCTTACGGTTACAGCCTGGAGACCCTCAACCACAAAACAAGTAAGTCTCAAAGCCCTGTCATTAATCTAACATGATATAGCTCTGTTCATTTAACTTTTATTTATTGTTACAATCAAAATATAAAGAATGTGAGTTTATTTAAGATAAGGCTCTATTTGTTATTAACTCATAATATAAGTGGCAACATATTACAGATTAATACTCTGCAAAATGTGTTAACTTATGTAACTTACTTAACTATGTCAAGGATACACTCCTCACTGTGCAGTGAGACTTGAATGCAAATGTGCAACTTACCCTATTTTTCCTGTTTCTTGGATTTACAGCCTTATTATCAAACCCTTATCATTTCTCTGTGGAGAAAGGCAGAGTGTTCAGACCAGACAAATCATACGCTGTGACCCAGGGGAAGTGGTACTTTGAATTTGAAATAGTGACTGCTGGGAAAATGAGAGTGGGCTGGGCTCGACCCGACTGTACACCAGATAAGGAGCTCGGCTCGGATGACCAGGCATTTGTCTTTGATGGATTTGAGGTGAGATATCCAAATGTCTCTGTTCTTAATGTGCCATTAACAAAAGCTTGCTTGTAATAAGCCAGACATATCTATGTGATTTTAGTATAGCCCTATGTGAATTCTTTTTTTTACCCTACAGTCTAGAAAGTTAGGTCCATAGGTCTAATAAAAACTCAAAATTAGTTTTCAAACTCTAATCACTGTGATGTCCGAAGTTACTTTGGAGAGCAGACTGAAACAGAACTTAAGCTCTCTTTAAATTAAGCAGAAACAAGCTCACAGTTTATTTATATTCACGTCTATGAATAAAATGTCTGTTGCTTGTCCTACCACACAGCTGATCAGATACATCAAAGTTGCACTTAAGACATGTGGCCCTGATGAAGAAAATATATGATATGAAACAGCACTGGTGTCACACATGATCTCAGTTGGCTACAAAAAAAAGGCACAAAAATAGGGGATTGGTGTACATGCCAGCCATTAACACAAGGGACAAAGACGAAGTGAATCACAGCCAAATGACTCTGAGCGCATCATCCTGTTCTATTTCTTTTGCTTTCAGGCTCAGTGGTACCATCAGGGTGTTGAGCCACTGGGACGACCATGGCAGAGAGGTGATGTGGTGGGATGCCTGGTGGACATGGCTGAATGCACTATGATGGTCACGCTCAATGGAGAGATGCTGTTTAATGACAGAGGATCAGAACTGGCTGCCAAGGACTTCGATGTCAGAGACGGTTGGCAAGAGTTTTGAGTTTATACAGTAGTGTACGGATTAAACTTGAAATAGTACATCAAGCAATTTTTCTATGAGGCTCGCAAACTGTTTTTTTTTTTTTTTTAAGAAAATGTAACCTTAATCCAAGGCTAAAATAGTTTTCAGAATAACATGTTTTTGTTTGTCTCCCTGTTTTCCAAGGTTTGTTGCCTGTGGTCAGTGTTGAGGTGAACCAGGTGGGGAGGCTGAACCTTGGTCGCCAAGTGGACTCTCTGCAGTACTTTACAGTGTGTGGCCAGCAGGAGGGTTATGATCCTTTTGCTGCCAACATGTCTAGAGACCCAGCCCTGTGGATGAGTTGGAAGCAGCCTCAGTTTACCTCCATACTGCCTGATAATCATAATTTACAGGTTAGTTTACATACAGGACTGTAGGCTGTCTTCCCCCCTTGCAGCTTGGTTAATCTTTTATTAACCATGTAGTGCGATGCACTAATTTGCTCAGTATTCCAACAGACGCCTCCCTGGAATTCTTGGTTGCTTGGATCACTGGTTAATTGACAGCACTGATCCTGAAAATCTTGTTCAAATCTCATTCAAGGTCACCAGAGTCAGTGGCTCGACAGATTCCTTATCCAGCCTGAGGGTTTCTCAGCGGTTGTTTGCACACCATGGTGGAGGCAGTGAGATAGGCTTTTACCGGCTCAGCATGTCCATTGAATGTGCTGCTATCCTTAAGAGTCCTGCAGGGGGCGTGCTTCCTGTGGCCTCCAACTCTCTCTCTCCAGGTTCAGATATTATTACATCCTATTCCTTATCCAGCTTAAGGGGGTTAATGTGCTCAAATAACACATGGCAATTAGACCTGATGCAGTAAGTAAACATACAAAAAAATATATTTAGTGCTGTATTAGTAGTCAGATGTGGATAGCAGTTCATTGAAGTTATCCAGATTATTTTCTATCATAATGACTGACATTCAACCATTGTGTCCTTGATGAGTTGCTAAGCTAAAGCTCCCCAGGGCCCTGCTGTAATTAATTCCGCTTGTCCTTTTAGGAAGAAAAGATCAGGAGGAGGTGGACTCTGACTTTGAAGTTTTGATGAAGTCAGCCCACAATTTTGCGGGCTCAAGAGATGAGCTCAATCATAAGGATCATAGTCACGACAAAACCTCAAGACTGAAACAACGGTAGGCTGTAGAGACATTCAAACATGGATGAACTGGAGTTATGTCTGTATTATTTTGAATATGGAAAATAAACAAAAAACATCAATATTAGGGTCAATCAAACCACATAGATTAATAAGATATTAATCTGTCAGCAACTATGAAACTAAGGGATACATGTCTTTTCATATCCCTTTGCCAGATGTATACAATGATAAAAAAACATGCATATTAAGGATGATGTCTTAACCAAATGAAATGACAAATGAGAGACTGTTTGTGTTACCTCCTCATTTATGTGTGTTTTCTTCTAAAAGCTTCATGCTTAAGAAGACCAAACCAGGCCTGGTCAACAGCAACTCCTCCGCACGGCTTCTGGAAGATGTTGTCGTTGACAAGGATAATCATGATCACCTTATTCAGAGCTCCAGAGTAAGCTTTCTGTTTTGTTATCATCTCACCTCCAAAAGCAGATAAGCACTAAACATAAACAAGAAATCTGCACACAGAGATCAGAATATTTTGTAAATGTTCTATTTTTCCTAATAACGCTCATCAATAACAGAAAACACAAAATGCTTTTGAACACTCTGTTCTTCCTCAGAGTGGCTTGAAATGAAATTAAATCGTTTTACCAGCTGAGCTCTTTGCTTGTAACTATCAGCCACAGAAAAAGATGAAATGTAGAATGAAAAATGGAAACGCTGACAATGACACAAGCTGACTTCTCTGTTTCAGTATTATTACTCAGTGAGGGTCCTTCCCGGTCAGGAGCCGTTCAATGTGTGGGTTGGCTGGGTAACATCGAACTTTCATCAACATGATGTCACTTTTGATGCTGACAATGTCCAAACTGTGACTGTCACCCTGGGAGATGACAGTGGCAAAGTCCAGGAAAGGTTAGTATACACTAAGACAGGTGTGTAGTTTGTCCAGCTCTTTTTATTTAAATACTATTAATACAGTGATATATGTAACTGATGACAGAACTATGCCATACATCTTAGAGTATCGACAGACTGTAATACAAATTCTGTTCACAGCAGTATATTATGATTTTTCTTCACTGCTCATTAATTTCAATTCTGCTTCTTTTTAGTTTTCATGGCAAATGACAAACACATCTCTGTTCTTTGTTCATAGTGTGAAGCGTTGTAACTCTTACATGGTTTGTGCTGGAGAGGCAACAGGTCTGTCTCAGAGTCGCAGAAGTGCAGGGCTGGAAATTGGCTGTTTAATCGACACGTCCACTGGGCTGCTCATGTTTACCTCCAGTGGAGTAGAGATGGCAACCTTCTATCAAGTAGGTCAAACAGGAATTAAATCAACCTGTTCATGCTAATCCATATCTTTCCTCTTCATTAATTTGTCAAACCTACACTTATCTTAATGTGGTATATATATTAAACATTATTGTAACACTTGGGATCAAATTATTAAGGTCATTATTGTGAATGAAGCTTTATGTGGAGCATGGAATTATTCGACTGTTGTTTCTTTGCTAATCAGGTTGAGGCCGGTACAAAGCTGTTTCCTGCTGTTTTTGTGAAACCCACCACCAGCAACATGTTTCAGTTTGAACTTGGACGCGTTAAGGTGAAGGAAGCTGAATTATTAATCTTATCCCAAAGAAATAAAAAGTATGTTTGATCGTTTTTTTCTCCTTTTCTGCTCGTCACTTTAATATAAATGCATAACAACTAAGCAACACATTTCTAAAAACTGGATAAAATGCTGTTGACAGACTTGATTCTTTATTTATTAGATTTCAGCCTGCAAAGTCTGAAAAGTTTCTTTAACTGTAATACCTTTTTCAGTCCTCAGTCACTTTTATTTCTGTAAATGTTCAGTAGTCTTTTTGACTGTTCATCTTTTTGTTTTCCTCTCCTACACAGAATGTGATGCCCCTTTCAGCAGGTTTGCTGCGCAGCCAAAGAAGGAATGCAACTCCTCAATGTCCTCCGAGGTTTCAGGTGCAGAAACTCAGCCCGGTTTTATGGACCAGGATACCGGACTGCACACTTAGGGTGATGGTGGATCGGCCAGATGAGTGCCATGGATGGAGAGTCCAATGCTCTGAGCCCCTTCAAGTCATGTGTCTTCATATCCCTGATGAAAACAGGTTAAAGAGTATTGACATACTTGTGTTTTTGGAACTGACTGGCCTGTTTAGGAGCTCATTAAGTGAAGCACATGTTGTTTGTTATGTTGCTGTCATTCCTCATGTATCCTGTCACACTGTTATCTTCAAGCACCAGACAGGACACCTGGTATAGTGTGTAACATCATGGAAATTGCAAATTACTTCAACTGCATCTTAAGTTGTTTTTGGGTTCAAATTATCAACACAAGCTATAATTTGATTTGAGCATGCAACAACACTGATATCGTGCTGTACTTTTTTGTTGTCATACGTCTAGGTGTGTTGACATTTTGGAGCTGTCGGAACATGAAGACCTCTTCACATTTCACCAACATACTCTCCTCCTGTACTGCTGCTTATGCGCCCTTGGAAACACCAGGGTTTGTCATGCCCTCTGCAGTCACGTGGACCAATCCCAGATGCTTCATGCCATCCAGAATCCCCACCTCCCTGGGCAACTCCGCTCTGTATTTTACCAGCTGCTGACTCAGGTGACCGCTTGTTTGAGTTCATGCAGCTTACAACAGGATTTGGAAACTAGAAAAAAATTATTTAACAAGTAATTTTTCATTTCAGGTTCACCTCAGCAGCCACTTTACGGCATGTCTTATGATGAACCAGGAATATATTGTACCTATGACTGACCAGACCAGAGAAATAACACTTTTTCCAAGCCCTGCTAATGCAGGTAATGCTCAACCTCTAGATGCAAGGCAAGGCATTCCCAGCTCTTGTTTTAGCCCATCCCTTAAACCACAGATGCACTTCTCATCTCCTTGTTTTGTCAGGAGTGATGGTTTGGAAGGAGATTGTGCAGTTGAAGTATCCTGCTCAGACAGCCCAGAGATCCCTCTGGACATATTGAAAAATCTGACTGTAGAGATGCTGACTGCTGGAGTGTGTGCTGTGGGTCAGGGTGTGAGGGATCCTGTAGGAGGCAGCATTGAGCTTCTGCTGGTCCCTCTAATTAGACTGTTCTACACCCTGCTGGTTATGGGGGTATTTGGGGATGAAGACCTTGGGAAAGTTCTGAGACTGATAGAGCCACGAGTCTTTTCAATAGATGCTGAAACCCCTGAGGAGGAAGAGGAGGAAGAATTGAGTGATGATGAAAAAGAATGGAAAGGGGGACAGAATAACGACGGTGAAACTCTGAAACAGGGACTTCTACATATGAAGCTCCCAGAGGCTGTCAAAATTGAGGTGAATGATGCTGCAGATTTCTTTGACATTGGACTGTTTCTATTAGCTCTAGTTTTGGATTAGTCTCAGATGCTTAGTTTTTTTTATTTTGGTTTCAAACCAATAATAAAATAGAATTTCCAACATTTCCTTCCCCAGCTCTGCTATCTTCTGTCCTACCTGTGTGACTGCCAAGTGCGCCACAGGATTGAGTCTGTCATTGCCTTCTCTGACAACTTTGTGGGTCAACTGCAGGAGAACCAAAGCTTTCGCTACAACCAGGTCATGCAAGCACTCAACATGTCAGCCGCTCTCACTGCCCGCAAGACCAAGGAGTTCCGCTCTCCTCCGCAGGAGCAGGTCATATGGCTTAAAATAGTATTTTTTATGTTTTCAGTCATCACAATGTAATTTGATATACATTAAAGCTCCTGTGAGGTGTTTTATGTGGTTATGAAACAAACTGAAAATTATACTGATGCCTATTTATGTCCTAAAAAGGCAAAGATCATCAGCGACAAGATTGATGACTTCTGTATAGTTTGTTATAAAGCTTATAGTCAGTGCTGTGGGTATTCGTCAGGAGGTTGTTTCATGAAAGCTGTTCACTTTAATTCCATCAACACTGAACAATAGATGTGATGTCATTGACTGTTGAAATACGTATCCAGTGATAGCCTCATTAGAAAAAATAAAATTAGGGGGCACAACACATTATGACAGATATTTTAAGACCCTTTTATTCAAGGCTAACGCAAACGCTGATTTTGTCCTGTACAAATGTGAGCAAAGACATAAGATGTTATATGTTGCCCCTAGGGGAGCCAAAATCAACACCAACCCAAAGTTATTCACGGGAGCTTTAATCTTTGTTTGTGCACAATTAAAAATAAAAAAAGTAAACAGAAAGAAAGGCTTTGACATAACTGTAAGTTTATCATTATTACTTTTAATGACCCTGTCTGTAGATCAACATGCTGCTGGACTTCAGACATGATGAGCAGCAGGAGAACTGTCCCTGCCCTGTTGAAATTCAACAACTCCTGCAAGACTTTCATCACCTTCTCAACACACACTGTGGTTGGAGCACTTTTTATCTTTAACTCATTAATAATTAATCCGTATAGAGCCAGGGAACTATGAAAAAAAGCCTTCAGAATGGTCTAACTATATGCCACTGAAAGGTTTACTCTTATTGGCTTTTACTGTACAGGAATTGAAACGGACAATGACGCAGAGGATGAAGAGATTGCTGAGATGTCAGTAAAAGATCGACTTCTCAGTCTGGTGGGAAGTGTCCTTGGGTTGAAGAAGAAACCCATAGAGGCAGAGGAGAGTAGGCTGCAGAGTGCCAGTAAGTGAATCAATGATGAGAAAGCCTTTTCTTTGTTCTTCTTATACATTCATTAACTATTCTTTCCCTTTGACAGTATTTTATCACCTTCTTTGCACTCGCTTTTAATTTACCTGAAAATATGATGACGCAACATTCTTTATTAAGGAACAGAATTATACAGAAACATTGTGTGGTTTTAATAGGGATAGCCAGTGTCTATATGTATGTAAGTGTCAGAGAGAACATTTTTAATTTGGCCAGAGACATTTCTACCGATGAAAAAATGAATTAGCGTTCCACTCCTCCACTACTTTAATTTCTACCTTTCACTCGTTGCTGCTTCCTCAGAGTCCCTGAAAAAGCTCATCTCTGAGACAATGGTGCATTGGGCCAAAGAGACTGAGATGGAGGACCCTGAACTTGTAAGAGCCGTATTCACTTTGCTTCATCGCCAGTATCAGGGCCTTGGGGGCCAAATGGCGGGACCCCTCTCCAGAGCCTATACGATCAGCCAGATTTCAGAAGAGGACACCATGGCACTCCTCTCCTCCCTGAGCCAAATCCGTTCCCTCCTCAGTGTCCGAATGGGGAAGGAAGAGGAGAGGCTGATGATCAGAAAACTAGGGTAGGAGAGATTTGTAGTGCAACACAGATTTGCATTTCCTGTACTGCTTGACTTTTTTGTGATTTATATAATTCATTTCTAACAAATATATTAATGTCCTGCCTGGTGTTAAAAGTTTCTGTTTCTGTTGTGCACTTTTTTTCATGTACAGAGACATCATGAATAATAAAGTTTTTTACCAGCACCCTAATCTAATGAGGGCTTTGGGGATGCATGAGACCGTGATGGAGGTGATGGTCAATGTCTTGGGAGAAGGAGAATTAAAGGTTAGAGATTCAAAAAAAATTCATAATGATAATGTGGAGAAAATGTGTTCAGTCCTTATTTCAAAATACATATCTATATTCTATGGTCCATATTCTGAGGAATTAAAGTTAAACATGAACATTTTTTTAAAATGCAGTGCTATCAGTATAGTTCTTTACCATCTGCCTCCTCACATATTACTTTCCTTTATGGCCATGCATTTATTTCCTTTTTGTTAGGAGATCACCTTTCCCAAAATGGTGGCCAGCTGCTGTCGTTTCCTCTGTTATTTTTGCCGCATTAGCCGTCACAACCAGGGAGCCCTGTTTGATCATCTCAGATACCTGCTTGAAAACAGCAGCGTTGGACTTGGTAATTGTTATCCTCTTATTTTCCTTTTTTTTCGCACCTCTTATGTGTAAGTGGTGCGAAAAGTAACAGGAACTCCAAAGAATGTACTGTGAAGTTTCACTTTACATAACCCTCATCAATAGTTTAACACTAGAAGTATAAACCTCTCAAAACTTTGTTGAGAGATATTGAGTCAACTCTCTGGAAATGTATGAGGCTATAGTTTGTAATGCTATTGCAAGGATGGTAAAGAGTTTTAAAACCTGATAAACTAAAAAAGTAGCTCAGTAAGAATCTATTTCACATCTTTTAGATTGAATTACACATATATAAGAGTTATTGTGTCTTACTCTCTTTGCCAGGACTTTGTCTTGCTCAGCAAATAAAGAAAATTGTTTTCTTATTTTACTTGCTCTTGTCTCGAGTTCAATTTTAGGTGATTCAAATACAGTTTAGAAATGTTAAGCTCTTCACCCTCTGATTAGAAACCCAAATATCTTGACGTTATAAATAGTTTATAAGTTATGTTCAGATTGTTTTAAACCTCCTATTTCCTTTAGCGTCACCATCGATGCGGGGAGCCACTCCTCTGGATGTAGCAGCAGCCTCTGTAATGGATAATAATGAACTGGCATTAGCACTGAAGGAACCTGACCTAGAGAAGGTTAGTTCATATTCTATAAACTCCTTAACATTAATGCTGTTAAGTCTTTATTGTGTCACATATACATAGAAAAGCAGTCTGCCAATTCAATCATTTTTAATTATTTATTCAAGGTTGTTAAAGGTGGAGTCAGTGGCACTGTTTGTTACAGCTTGTAAACACAGCATTCCTTTTGTATAAGTCTATATTTAACGTTTTAGGAAAAAGCTGCTGACTCTATCTTTAAAGTGTCTCTGATGATGATTATAAACCCTCTGTATATTTTACTCTCTCTAATTACATTCTTGTGCATCACTTTAATGAGTATAGTTTTTGAGAAATACATAATGTTAAGACATAAGAGATGCTTGAGGATCACATTTCTTTTTTCGTTTCCACATTATTTATTCAGTGCTTGAAGTAAACCTTGTGTTATTTTTCTGTCCAGGTGGTGCAGTACCTTGCTGACTGTGGTCTCCAGAGCTGTCAGATGCTCGTGGCTAAAGGCTATCCTGATATTGGATGGAATCCTGTGGAGGGCGAGCGTTATGTTGATTTCCTGCGTTCTGCTGTTTTCTGCAATGGTAACCTATCAGTTCTACTCGTAAAGTTCCTGCCTTATAGAAAACTGAAAATGTTCACTACATTCTAGTTGTTTGTTAAAACTTTGAACAAACTTTTAGATAAAGATACTATTGAGATAATTTCAGGTAATTTAAACAATTCTAAGTGTACTGAATATAAACTTTACGGTCAAATTGCAGAAATTAAGATGGTTTAATTATTTTATTTCACAATTTTTATTTAAGTTAGTCTCTCTAAAAGTGATGAATTTAAACAATTTACCTTACCATATTGTTGTTTTGACCTATTCATGGTATTTATTAGTTCTCAATTGAGAGTTTGCATAATTGTATGTAATGGAGGTAATTAACCCGCAGATTTTTTATATATTGATTTTTCTTACTCGGAAGCAGTACCCTGAAGGCGTTAGTTCAAACTGTCTTTGACTTTAAAGGTGAAGACAGTTCAGCCCTGGTTTTCCATACCAAGTACCTCTTAGTAGTTTCAACCCTACCTCTTTCTTTACAGTCTTTGAGCTGTTTGTATTTTGATTTTCACATTATTATATAATGTCTTGTCTTAGTGCTCTTCCTTTTCTTCTGATTCAGTGCCGATTTTGTCCGACTCACAGATAGTTAGTGTTTATCTTCTACACCTCCCTTGACCTACAGGTGAGAGTGTAGAGGAGAATGCTTATGTGGTGTTAAAACTGTTGATTCGTCGGCCTGAGTGTTTTGGCCCTGCACTGCGAGGTGATGGTGGAAACGGTCTCCTTGCAGCCATGGAGGAAGCCATCAGGATCTCAGAGGACCCTTCTATGGATGGACCTTGCACTATGTACCAGTCCAACAGAACACTGTCAGTATTAGAGGTTGAGTAGAGCACTGCTGTGTGCAGACACATATTTAACTATTTCTGGTAGCTAAATTAGGTATCATCAATTTGATAATGCTCTGTACAAAATTACTGTTGGTGGTTTGTGTGTGTGTGTCTTTTATATAAAACCAAATTTTAACAAATTTAGCCCTACATGTTTTAAGTTTTTAGTTGTAAGTTGATAGGTTGCTGTGTAGTTATAAAAAAATAAACAATTGGGACTACTGCTTAAATAGAAAATCATTCAGTAAGGATGACTTTTTGATATTGTATACTAATCTGTGTGAATCTTTATCGTTTTCCTCTCCATATATGATGAGCCCCTTCTTCTGCACCACCTCATACTTTCAGCAGTTACATGAAATTGAATTGAACTTTTTTTTAAAAATCTGTTGAGTAGGAATTTGCTTCATCTCTTTTCATTGTGGCTGATCTTTAAAAGACTATTTCAGATCAGTTGAAATTTGGGGGAAACATATTCTCTTTCTTGGCTAACCGGCTGCTTTATTTAGTGAAATTCAATAACTTGATTCTGCTAAATATCCTCAATGATTTATTTGGGTTCATGGCAAGCTTCAGACCATTATGATTGTTTCCTGTAACAGAGATGTGGTCCAGGACGATGATGATGACCTCATTCACATGGGGCACGCCATCATGACCTTCTACTCAGCTCTTATTGACTTGCTGGGCCGCTGCGCGCCTGAGATGCATGTGAGTGTTTTCCCAGTCTCCAGCAGAATGCCCCCCCCCCTCTCCTGCATCAATATCCTCTGATCTCAAACAGGGAGGCCTAGCACAGAAAGTCTAATGCTGAACCCCCACTGCAATTGTGTGTTCTGTACGTCCCAGTCTGCCTATCTGCTCTGCTTGTGTATTTGTGGCTATAGACAGATTTACTGATTCTATACATTTAACAGTATTAACCTGACAGACTTAAAAACACTGATACTGCGCTACTTGAACATTTTGCATTAAAACACTGTACAGTATATAGACTGAAGACAGCGTTTTCAATATTCTTTTTATTACATTTTTCATATATGTTGTCATCCCGATTTGAACTGGTGGACGGTGATGTCAATCAAAGAATTAACTTTCTTTATTTACGGTATGCTGAAAGAGTAATTGGCTTAGGCCTGTCAGGATTTGTGTCAGAAAGACACAGACTAGGTCTGTTTGAGGGGCGAGCATGCATGTGTGCCTGGCTGTCGTCATAAGCGCCTGATGGGGGGAATAAAGCTTTATCAAAGGATGATTTTTTTGCCTTATACATTTGCATTGAAGTGCAAAGGCAAAACAAAACAAGACAAGGCAATTTTTATGTCACATGTCAAACACAAAGGCAGAAGAAAATGCTTTACAGAAGTCATACAAATTCATTAAACCCTTCAAAAGATAATGAAAAATCTAATTTATTTTCACAAGACAAATAACAAAAAAATAAGACTGGCAGGACATAAATCAACAAGAACTAATAGAAAGCCTTTCAGATAACAAATCATTTTACCCTCTCTTCAAAGTTTCTTATCTTTGATATCAATAACAGCTTGACCAAGGAAATGGCCTAAAGACACAATAGAATAAACGTCCATAACAATACATCTTTACAAATCTTATATAAAACTGAACCATTATGTATTGTGACCCTCAGCAATCTATCATATGAGCTGTAAATGACTGACCACTGGAAATTTTCTGAATTGTTGCACAGTTGATTCAAGGAGGAAAAGGAGAAGCTATCCGTATCAGGGCCATTCTGAGGTCACTCATCCCCATCCAGGATCTTGAGGGAGTCATCAGCATTTCCTTTGAAATCCCTTCAGTGGCTAAAGGTGAAATGAGCCTTTCGACTAATCTGATATCGAATACAGATTGCACAGGAAACTTCTGTGCCTGCCTTTGTCTGCTATTGTTTTTTTTTATTTAAGATCAGAGATGTTTTTTGATAACACTGTTCCTTTGACTTGCCTGTAATGTCAAAATGCTGTACATCATGTACACAGTGGTTGAGAATGAAAGAGGGATCAACTTTAAAAATCAGATGCGGCTCAGCTAGATACAGTAAATGTACAATATGCTGTATTTCAAAGTTACTTTTGGTCATAAAATCAAATCTTTACTTTTCCATTGTTTCTCCAGATGGTCTGGTGGATGAGCCAGACCTCTCTACAGTGTTCTGTCCTGACCACAAGGCAGCCATGGTCCTGTTTCTGGACCGAGTTTACGGCATTGAGAACCAGAATTTTCTTCTCCACCTACTTCAAGTTGGCTTTCTGCCCGACCTTCAGGCAGCCGTGTCTTTTGACGCTGTGAGAATAAAAAATGCGTATTTTGTTTCCTTATTCACTTGTTTGTGACAATGTCATAAGAGTAAGATTTGACTTTCTGTAAATCCCAGTTGCATCCCATCAGGTCCCCCCCAGAGCCCCCACCCCCTCCGTGAAGTCAGATGTAATATATGTTAGATTGGCTGTGATCTTTGCATTAACAGAAACTGGTGAATTGTAATTGTTTGTTTTCGATTGTATCCTGTATTCTCTTGCTGCCTCCACCTTCAGTGTGGTCTGTGTAGTTCCACTTGGTTAACTGGGTTGTGAAATTGTGACCCCTCTTCTTTTCATTGCAGGCTGACTTAGGATCCACTGATATGGCCTTGGCCCTCAACAGATACTTGTGTACATCTGTTCTTCCCTTGCTCACCAAATGTTCAGATCTCCTCTGTTCTGTTGAGGACCATGCCTCGCTGGTGGATGCTCTTATCCAGGCAATCTACAACCTCTCACAGGCTCTCAGCCTGACCAAGGCTCAGCGAGACACTATTGAGGATTGCTTGTTGGCAGTGTGCAGGTAGGGTTTTTATTTGGCAAGGTCAAGTAACCTAAAGAGTTCACGTCGTCTCTGCTTGGTTACGATTGAAATTAGTGTTTGCTGTTGCAGTCTGAGGATGTTATTACTGTATTATTATCATTTTTTAAATTTGACATTCAAGTTTCCTTTATTTAACCTCACTTCCTTTGTTTCTGTTTGACCAGATAAAATGCTAAGAAGAGAAGTGACAGAGCTAAAGCTGACACACCAATATATTCTAATTCTCACTCATTATATTTAATGAATCACTTTAAAAATCTGTTTTCGCCTAATTCCAATCTAATTTACCAAATCCAATCAAATTGTTAAATTAATTAACATCAAGCCTGTGGCATTTTCTCAGTTATTTGTGTAACTCTTCTGAGAGATGTTAATTACTCAAGATTATTCATGTATGTGTGTATGTGTCTGCTTGTACATGTGATGTGTATCTGCTCCTGTGACTAATTCTGCACTCATTGGTGTCCTTAGTAAACTCCAACCATCTATGATGCAGCCTCTTCTTAGACGTCTGGTCTTCGATGTCCCGAAGCTCACAGACTACAGCAAAATGCCGCTAAAGGTGGACACAGCAGTTGCAGTCTATCACAGAATTCGTACAAATGTTTGATTACACAAATAATTGTGTTAACTTGACCTACACTTTCATCCTCCAGCTCTTGACCTGTCACTATGAGCAAAGATGGAAATACTACTCGCTAGCAGGGGGACAGGATGACCAGAGTTCTGCCTCTGAAGAGGAGCTCCACCTGTCCAGAAAGCTGTTCTGGGGTGTCTTTAAGGCCTTGGCAAAGAAGGTAAACCACACTGTGAACAACTGCCCCAGTCATTTTATTTGTGACAGCGTCATCCTGGGGTTGATGTAATGTTAATGTTTTCTTTTTCTCCAGCCCCCCTCAAAGTTTATTTCAGGAGAAACCGCAAAATGCATATTTGATTTTCTTCTTTAGTGTACTTCTCAAAGAGGAGAAGTGGAGGAAGCTAGAACACACTTGAGATTACAAATTAATTTTTCATATCCTAGTATGAATCCTTCGCTCCAAACAGAGTTGCTGAATCTTTTCTCAGTTCACTGTAAGTGTGCACCAGCATATTTCTGACACTTATTTGACTGATTCCGAACATGAAAACATCAGAGAGTTCATAAGGTTGATCCTTTCTCATTCCCTCATCCAACAGCCACAGAAACCGAGCCCACAGTCAATGGTGCAGAGAATTGTGCCGCTTACAGGGAGAAATATATAACAAACTGACAATGCTTATGCTGAGGTTGTATGATGTATTTTACACTATTTATTGATTATAGTTAAAATGAAATGAAATGGAAACATTATGGACTCTATTTTATGTAGTGTAGTAAACTTAATTACATACCAGCTGAATTTGTGTTCAGGGATACAAAAGATGTAACATCAAGTCAGCAACTTTTATTCACAGATAATAAGCAAAATATTAGGCCGTTCTGCTTTATCTAAATTTCCCTTTCTTTTGGGGGCACAAAACAAGGTCAAGGCCCCCCCCCCCATTTTTTTCTTTTTTTTTTAACCTGGGAATGATTTGATTTGAGATTCAAGATTAACTTTATTAAGTGATGTCCCCTCCGAAAAAATAGGTATATAAATAACATCTGAAAATACCAGCGCAAACACACAAAGACAAGTTATATTCCATTACCTATCTGTCTTATTTGAAAGAAATACTTTTCAGTGGAAGTATTTCTACATCAGAAGCAATAATTGATTCCAATGTTACATTTAAATTGAATAAGCTGTTTTTTTCAGCTGCTCCTCTGTCGTTCCAACTCAGACATTTGCAAACATTGGTTAAACTCAAACATTTTCCTTGCCGCATAGAAACCCTTAACCATGACTTACATGGACCATCCAGTTGTAGAGATGTAGTGCCAATTCTAAAATTGGTTGTCAGCTTTGCCACATTTGGTAAAACAGCTTCTTATTTTGAAATGTTCTGAGTGAGAACAGGTCATTGGAGTGCATATGAACTGGTTCTTAAACTTATTTGCCCTTTCAAACATACAGTAGTCTCATATGTGCAGCTGTTCTTCTTGTAAATGGATTGACAGTGTGTGCATTAAAGGAAAAACAAAACAAGAAAATCATATTTTAAAGATACTGAGAGAGCTCTTTTGAAAAGTAAATTGATCACTGGTTTGTTGCATTTTTATGTCCTTCTTATGTCCTTATTTTTTTTTATTATGTTGTGCTGCTTTCCCTTGTTTCTTCATGTTATCATATGCTGTCTCTTTTTCTTCATCCCTTACTCACTCAGTACTCTTAAACTCCCTTTCCTTCTCAAACTCCACAGCCCTATGAGCCTCAGTTATTCCCACTCTGTGTTCAAAGCCTAGCTGCTGTGGCTAAGGCCATTCCTCCTGACCACATGGACTCGAGCTGCACGCCTCATAGTGAGAGAAAAGCCTCCACAGACACAGAAGGACACTTTGAACTTCAGCCTGTAGATACATCCAAGTAAGTTACTGACCAGGGATATTTATAAATAATAGCAAATGACAATAAACAGACTTTCAGGGAAATTCAAGAGGTGTGAAAATGAACAATATCATCATGTTGCTCTTGACAAATCTTTTCATTAACATTGAGCATGTATAATATTCCCCTCTTTGCTAGTGTGTCAGTGCCAGAGAGACTGGAGTTCGTGGTTAATAAGTATGCAGAGCACACTCACGAGAAGTGGTCACTGGACAAGGTATTAGCACAGTAATTATTCCTCAAATCTGAACAGCCTGTTAAAGATGACAAAGTAGCATTAAGGTTGAGAATGGAACTAAAAAGACAACAACCATCTAATTGGTGTGGTTGAGTTAGTATGCTGATGTCAACATATTTGAATGTATGTGTTTTTCCCCACAATGTCTGAATCTCTGTGTTTTATCTCTGTCAGTTTGCCAATGGTTGGGTTCATGGAGAGCAGCTCTGTGAGAACACTAAGGTTCATCCTCTCCTCAAGCCATACAGGGCTCTGGCTGAGAAGGTAGACTGAGAAGTCAGTTTTTATTGTGTGCGCGTGTGTGAATTCAGAAAGGAAGCAGTGAACTGACAAATCCCAGAGATCCCCCTTGCATAACAAATGTGGTGTATGTAATATAAAAGATTAAAATGCCTTGGTTCATGGTCCTTAGTGTATAGATTGGACAGCACTTCTTCAAGTTTTTGAAAATCAAAAAAAGTTCAGGCAAGTTTTTATCTGCTCTGCTGTCCTGTGATGAAAGGCTATGTTGAGTTTCAACTCAGAGTTTCTCTTAAATTCTGAGTCTCTCAGGAGAAGGAGGCATACCGCTGGGCCATTAAGGAGACGATAAAGAGTATGCTCGCCTTTGGATGGACGATAGAGAGGACTAAAGAGGGAGAGGCATTTGGAACACATACCTGTTCACGCAGAGTCTCTCAGTCTGGACAGGTATGTGTACGCCAGAGGCCTCGTTCTTTGTCTTACAGCATGTCTCGTTAAGGGTACCTTTTAGTAAAAGCAGTTTAATCGACCTTATTGATCTGAACCTCCTCAATACTGAAATTTACATATTTTTTGTCCTGTTTTTGTCTCTCCTAGCTGTCATTTGAGGGAGCATCAACTTTTAGCCCCAAGTCTTTGGACATGAGCAGCATCACCTTATCATGGGACCAGTGTGTAAGCAACTGCCTCTAAGATCATTGAAGTAAAACCACGGTTCTACTTTTAACCAGCCAACTGTACAGGTGTCAGAGGTGGAAGAGGGATCCGTGTCAATGCTGGCCTGTTACCAGTAATGTTGTGTATCATGCAAAGAGGCAGTCAGTTTGTGCTACACTTCAGAATATTCCAAAAACGTTTCTTTACATGTAAACTTCATAATTTAAAAAGCTTAACAGTAGCAGTTTAACTACTCAGACACTTTTCTTGATACAATCTGGTTGCACAGATTTCATCGCCATTGAAAAGAAAGTTGCCTTAAAGTTGCCTTGATTGAGCTGCCATCAACTACATATTTTCATCACCATAGAATTGATAAGATAAGATAAACTATAATGCCACCTTAGGGAAATATGTTTTGTACTCTCCTGCAGTTCCTCAGAAAATATAATCACAAATGCTGCGTACTTAAAAGGAAAAAACAGTTTTCACATATACATTTACACCTTCTGACATCGGGGACACAAATAAACAAGCCCCATGGTCAACAGCCTACATTACCTGTAAGTGACGGACATTAGCAGAAATACATGGTTCAGCCTGCTCTGGGGGACCCTGAATCGTCATACTGATGGTCAGAGCTGGAGCTATATTGATTGTGATGTGGGATCAGACAATATTGTATGTGCCTGTCTAACTATAGACAGCTGATTGTTTAGATGGATGGCTATTTTTCAAATCCCTATAATTTTCATAGCAGTCTGTTCCAGACAAGCAATCTGTCCAGTTACTGTACTTTAGCAGACTGTTATAGCACATTTTATAATACCCTCTCACACAACATGGTAAAATAGAAGCATGAACTTCAGCTGAACTCCACAGACTATTCTTATGTGTAAAAAATACTTCCTCTGTTGTAGTTGTTTCTGCTCCTGCTTTGCTGTTACTGAGTACAGCACACATTTTCCTTTGACACCTTTTCCTGAAGAAAAGTGTTTTCCTTGTTTGAAAAAAGAGGGATCTAAACTCTCCTCTTGGTTCTTAAGGATTTATAGATGCCGCTTTAAAGAGCAATTGAAGGGAGTTGATCTTATTAGCCATTGGTTAAACACCTTGTAATGTATCTGCAGCAAAACAAAAATAATTTCCTCTTGTGTTTTGTTTTCTGATCCGTAGGCTATGGCGGAACATTTGGCTGAGAACTACCACAATGCCTGGGCTAAGAAGAAGAAATTGGAGCTTGAGAGTAAAGGTACCATACCATGGTGTCAACAACTGTTCTATATACTATTTAGTTTTTGAAGTGCTCTCCTCTCATAGTGCACAGAAAAATAACAAAATTGCAATGTGTTTGACCCATTTCTGCTCCCAGGAGGGGGTGGCCATTCAATGTTTGTACCCTATGACACCCTGAGTGCTAAGGAGAAAACCAAGTTCAGAGAGAGGGCCCAAGATATCCTCAAGTTTCTTCAGCTTAATGGCTACACTGTGTGGAGGTGAGCACAGAATGAGCTTATGATTGCAGGGGGCAATGTGATTACTGCGTGTTCAAGGTGGGTAGCAATGAGTCCCATTTTCATGTCACAGTGTTATCACAGAAACCAGACCCCTGTCTCTTTTTTTTTTTTACCCTTTCCTTCAAATACAGGTCACAACATGAATAGAGCTCACGCAGTGAACAAGATGACACTGCACAACCAGTCTTGAAATTCTTGTGTTGAATAATACAATATTTATGCACTATTTAAGCTCTGTGTCTTCCAACAGAGTAGTTGTTTGATATCTCTCCTTCTACAGGGATCGGAGGACTGGGGAGTTGGAATTTCAAGCTGTAGCCAATTGCTTCAGCTACACTCTTCTTCGGCGCCTGCTGTCTTACACTGAGGAGGCTCAAGAGCACATGCTGGAGCTGGGTAAAGTTATGGTGTTCATAGAAATGAAGTCCAACTAACAGTAATAATTCATAGAAAAATAGAATACATAAAAGGATGTTTGCATAACATATTTAAAATATATGTTACACTATGTACCGTACCTGATATTGTAAGATTTGAACACATCACTGGGCCTTGTGAATGGACTTCAATCAGCATTGGTTAAACAGACAAACATCCCATTGAGTCTAAACTAAGCAAGTCTGTGTCAGGATAGTTTAGATTTGAAATATCTCAAAATAGTTCAGACCTGGCGTGAGTATGTGAATCTTTCTTTCTTGCCTTAAAAGAAACATGAAACCCTTATTATTGATGTTTTTCTGTTCTGTTAGTGGAACCACACTTTTGTTTCTAATGTGATGGGATTCAGTATTTCATTGTTTTTTGCTTTCCAGAGGTGATGCAAGCCAGAGGACAGATGTCTAAAGGAGAGAGAGCTCCACAACAGCAACTATTAAATGTTTTTTCTAAGGTCTGACTCCAATCAATACATGTAGCAACCCAGTCGAAATCTACTCTCTGTTATGAAATCTCTAACATTGTTAAAGCCTCCTACCAATGTAGTTTTTCCAATGCTACTCGCCTTCCTCTTTTTAGCATTTTTATTTTCCATTTTTGTATTCTAATTAGTTTTGTTAAATGGTTGCTGTGGGCAATCCCGCTAATAAAATCCCTTTGTGGCAGTGTAATTTATTTAACCATTTTGGAAATCCATGTGGGTGTGTCGATTCCCATCAGGGCATTGATTAAAGCTCCCCAACCAGTCCTGTCTCCAAGGAGCCAGCCAGTGAAATGGGCTTATTATTCATTGTTGGACCCCCAGAGTCAGACACTGTCAGCCGAGACCAAGAACAGTTCTGCCTCAAATGTCTACACCCCTCCCCTCTCAATCCACCTCACAGCTGTGCATGACACTTTCCATGACTCTGCCTGCCTGCCTGTCTGTAAGTCTGTCAATGAATTGCCAGGGCTTCATAGGAAGAATTAATAGAGTGCAAAAACATTTAACATCCTCGCCCTCTAGGTCATTGTTGGGTCAGTCGGTACGAACTCAAGTTAATCAGGCAGGCACTGCTCAAACACTGTTTTTTAATTAATATATTTTTGTAACAAACTTGCTAGTCAGAGGGAATGTAGAGGGATGTTTATTTAAATTTGTTCATCGCCAGTTACTCAATTTCACAGGTTGTCCTTCCTCTTTTGGAACAATATGTGAAGAGCCATCGTCTGTATTTCCTGTCTACTTCTCTCTGCTCAAGCGGAAATCAAAGCCATGCCTCAAAAAGAGAAAAAGAGATGATTGCAAGGTAAACAGAAACAATGTTCTTGTGCGGCCTCAGATTCTGTTATTACAGGGACAATATTCAGACTTGTTTTTGTTAACAGAACAATTCTCATTCTTCTGATTTGATGTCTTGGTCTTATCTTCCCCACTCCCCTTTTGTCTTTTTTCCTCACATCCAGCCTCTTTTGTAAGCTTGCAGCTCTAGTGAGACACAGGATCTCTCTCTTCGGTAAGGAAGGTGTGGATAAAAAGCTTTAGAAACTAATGTGTTCCACATGTCTTGGTTTTTGCTTCTTGGGATTGTCTTTGCTTGGCCACAATTGTGTGTTTGAATCTATTGGCTCTGTTATTGTACAAGATTCATCTAACCTCTTTTGTGTTCATGCATAATCTCGAGTGCATAACTCTTTGTCTGATTTTAAAATGTTTGTCTCTGCGTGTTTTCCCAGGTAACGAAGGCTCACAAGTTGCAAGCTGCCTCCATGTTTTGGCTCAAGCTCTGGATGCTAGGTAGCTAGATGGCACTACAGTCACACTCAGTCAGAATCGATGCTTTCGCTCTGCCTGCGGTCACATCAGTGTCACACAGCCATGTCTGAGGATGAGACGCCTGGTGTAATTGAGGCACTGATACACTGATGCTATCTAATTGTGGTTGATATCACTTTTACTCCCAGGGGACAATGCCTCTGAAGCGTGATACTAAAAGTAGAATCTTGACTCTGCAGAGATTGATTGTATTTGGATCTGCAGCGGTTAGATTAGAAGATGATTTAGTCCACTTAGTGATTTACTATATGCTATTGTATTGTTATTTATTAAGATGATTCACATTTTAATTTTTAATACTTTCATATCAAAATGTTCCTTTTTTTTAAAGAAAACTTTTTTTTTTTTTTTTATGAATTACGCATACAACATGTCCAGAATTTTTGCTTGAAAATAAAGAATATAATATTTTCTTCCCACTTTCTGCCCTAGGACATTAATGAAATCAGCCCCAGAGTCTATCCAAGCGTCTCTGCACTCATTCTTTGAAGCAGCTGCAGCTGACCTGGAGATGATCGTGGAAAACCTCTCTGTGACCTTGGTCTGTTTACCTCAGAGTAGGAGTCAGCAGGCTAAAGGAGTGGCCAAGGTTCTCAGCTACAGCAGCTCCATTCTTGTGCCCACCCTCACTTCGCTCTTTCGACATCTTTGCATCCAAAACTTTGGCGAGGACCTCCTGTGTAAGGGCTACCTTGATAAAAAAAGTTGCATTTAACACTACAAAATGTAGCCCCAAGTACACAGTTGTAAGCACAGCTAATTAACATAACTTTCTGTATCATCTCACAGTAGTAAAATTGAAACTGTCATGTTTTCAGTAGTCTGGTGTAATTTCCTCCATATGTCATGCAGTTGAATGAACAGCTGGTTTTTACAACCTTAAAATCCCTCAAGGACATCCTCCGTTCTACTTCCTACCTTCCTCGTCTTTGAAACCAGCTCTCATTAAGCGTCTCAGTCATGGCCACAGAGCAGCAGGAGCATATTGTCAGCCTCACTAATATCATAGCCTCCATGGATTCCTTTATTTCTTCAATCACTAGCTAGTCTGTATCTCTGATTGTATGCTCCCAGCTTTCCTTCTTTAACTTTTCCTGAGGTCCATCATTGATGGATCTCAGACTAAAGTGTCACCTTGTCTTTTCAGTGGGGAGTATCCAGGTGTCCTGTTACAGAATCCTCAACAGCCTGTACTCACTTGGCACCAGTAGCAGCATCTACATGGAGGGGTACTGCCTTTATTTCAATGTGATGTCAGAAGTTGTGAAAATGACAAAGTCACCTTGTAGCCAAGTTTTCAATATTTACTGGCTTTACCTTGATTTTGTCCACACATTCTTTAAGGTGTAAAAAAGATTGTTTAGACTTAAAGGTCACTTCAACCATTTTATTGCATCATGTACAGTACTTACCGGTATTCATTAATATCATTGAAACGGAATACATCTGATGTCTACAAGCTTTGACTATCACTGTTGGTCTTTACAAATATACATAAGGGTTATAAATGAATGCATTACAGGCATAGTAGGTTATGAACAGTCTTTGAACTTGAAATAGAAAAGAAAGCGGCTGTCACGTTCAGTCACGTCAATAAAAATGTACATAGTCTGAGAGTTTGACAAGTCATAATACAATACTTCTGTACAGGCAGAGGCCAGCAGCAGGCGCTTGTCTGGCAGCCCTGACTGGGACTTTCCCTGTATGCTTCCTGGAGCCTTCTTATAATCAAAACAACCCCTACTCCATTTACAACACCATGAATGCTTCTGAAAGAGAAGGTAATAAAAAATCCCATTGCAGGCAGACTGTCATTTATCTGTTTTTGTCCGTTTAACCTTGTGCCTGTTGAATAGCTCTCACACTGCAACTTGACCGCTCTCTTCTCAGCGTCATGTTCCCTATCTGTTTCTTTTAGACCTGGGGCTTCCCGATCAGGTTGAGGACATGTGTCCCCTCCTGCCCTCTCTGGATCAGGCCCTGGGGGAGGTGAAGGAGTTGGCATGTGCTGGTGCTGGCGCTCGCCTAGCCCCTTACATCCATGTCACAGAGGTCACCTTGCCCATGCTGTGTAACTACATGTCTCTCTGGTGGCACTGGGGCCCAGAGGGACAGCAAGAAAGCCCAATATGCACCTCTATCACTTCTCAGCATGCAAGTGACCTTCTTGGCCACATCCTCCGTGTTATCCACAACCATGTGGGAGCTAGCCAGTGTGACTGGATGAAACAGCTGGCAGGTATTATTATCTTCATCCTGCATCAGTTGTGCCTTCTATTCTTCTTTTTCCCGTATTAACAGCTGCCATGCCTTTCAGTTTTCTCTCAGCCTATCATATGTAAAGCCAACTCTGAGCTGTTAAAGAGCCACTTTCTTCCACTGATGGAGAAGTTGAAGAAAAGGGCCGGATGCATGCTGCTGGAGGAAGAGCAGATGAAAGCAGAAGTGTGTGATACATCTGAAGCAGAGCTGCAGCTACAGGAGAAGTTTACTGTACTGGTGCGAGACCTTTACGCCTTCTACCCCCTTCTCATCCCATTTGTGGATTCTAATCGGTAAGGCATACTGCATATTTTAGTAGGCAAACAATTTAGTTATTTAAAGTATCATTGACTTATTTAAATATAATTTTTATTTACCTTAGCTTACTTACTTAGCTTGTCGACTGTGGTTTGTGCTTAGTTACACAACAGATAGTTAGTTCAAGTTTTAATTTTGTGTGTGAAACTTCATCAAATCTGCAATATTAATGTGATGTGTTTTGGTCCATCCTGTCTCAGAGCCAGCTGGCTGAAAGACTCAAACCCTGATGCTGAGCAGCTGTTCAGCATGGTGGCAGAGGTCTTCACATTCTGGGCCAAATCACACGTGAGGATGTCACATTGAAGTGTTTTTTTTTTTTTTATCATAACTTCTCTTGTTAATAACATCCAGGTGAATGTTCTAAACTGTTCAAAGTATTTTTTCTTTACCTTTTATTGCTAAAACAGAATTTCAAATGGGAGGAGCAGAACTATGTGGTCCAAAATGAAATCAACAACTTGGCTTTTTTAGTCAACAAAGACAACATGTCCAAGGTCCGACACGTTTATAAATGGTTATTATGACATTTCGCTTCCACTAATGGCCAGGAGCTAAATCACTTTTACTCATTGATACCGCTATTCATGGTTTTTCAATGCTCAGTTCGACCATGACAAAAGGAGGATGAAGAGGAAGGGGGACTGTTATTCCACACACACCTCTCTCATAGTGGCTTCTATGAAGAGACTTCTCCCTGTGGGACTGAGGGTTTGTTTTCACAACGACCAGATCCTTCTTGTGTTGGCTAAGAAGGGCTTCACCCAGGTCAGTTCTAAAGTGGACAATACCAGTATAAATATCAGTTCTGCCATGATTACAACACCATATGAGAATGTTCTCTGGTATTTTTATTTTTAAATATTTGCCTTTATTTTCTTCCCACAGAAGAAGACTGAGGATGAGATTCGAGAGGATGTTTTCAATTACCTCAACCATCTTCAGAGCGAGGTAATGACTGTCCCTGCACTTTTACTCTTTTGCTTTACAGTCAGACAGGATTCCACATGGATGTTCAATTTGATGAGTGTTGATTGTTTTACATTAGTTTTTTTGTTTCTTACGGTAAAAATAAAAACAGTCCTATCAGTCTGTCCGTAATAAGAACAAAAATGAAGTGCAGTTAACAAGAGACATCTACAGTATTTTAATCTAGATCGTTTTGCTACATCTTTAGGTGCATATCTTTTCTATATTCTCCACATACTTTGCATATTGTTGACATGTTAAAAAATTGTGAAGAATATTAAACTGTAGCATGCTCTATTCGTCTGTTTAACCCAAACCTCATTTTTTATGACCTCAATCAGTGCATCATTGTTCAACAGACACAACAATGACATACTCACAATATTGTCTGCATGCAGTATTTGTTTATTTATGAGTCAGTGATAAATATGTCTGTTCATAAGTCACTGAATAAATCAGAACAAGTATTGCTTTGTCATTAGCATAGACACATTATTAAACAGAGCTGCTCTAAAAACATCTCAGATTGAATGGTTTAAATACCAACAACAACAACAAAAATTAATAACGGGGGCTTTCTTTTTCCTTGTTACAGACTTCAAACTGCTTTGGGCTGGAGGCTGTTAATGCAGTACACCCACGCCTGTTAGGGGCAATCGCTGAAACGAAAGAGACTGTTGACAAGATTTTGGAAATTGCACGTGTCCTGTATTACCTGGATCAGGTAAGCTTTTAAAGCAGTAAAACAATTATCAGTAAACCATTCAGGAGTGCAGTGAGAGTTTAAACAAGGCTTAATTCTTCAAGTTTCAGCCTCTGCATGCACTACCTGGCTTTTATTAATGAATATTCATTTTAGCTATTTGATATTACAAAGCTTTTGATTATTCCTAACACTAATTTAATTTGAATATATTACAGTTACAAGTTATGCCTGCAGTGCTAATGCATGGTAGGTAAGTGCATGACAATTACATGAAGGTTAACCTTGACAACCAGCACTGAAAAGCCCTTGGATCTTAAAGGTTCACGAGCACTAATTAGTTTATAAATCTTTAACTTTTGTTTCAGGTCGAACACCCTCAGAAAAGTAAAAAACCTGCTTGGCACAGGGTCTTATCCAAACAGAGGAAACGAGCGGTGGTGGCCTGTCTGAGAATGGCTCCTCTCTACAACCTACCAAGGTACCAACAAAATATGTATTTACAGTATATAGATAATTTTCAACCACACAACGGTTTAAGCTCAATTACTGATTAGACATTTTGAACTGAAACAGCCTTGTCAGAGGGAGAAGATTATCTGATGGCATACCATTAAGGTTTGAGAGTTTTTAAAGTTGCGCTTACAAATTAAAAAGTTGAGCTTGAGATGAGGATATGAAGGGTAGGAAGAATAAGGCTAATGGTTAAGTTAAGCTTTCAGAGATGTATTTTATTTTATCAGAAATCCCCAAATAAATGAAGGAAATCAGTATCATCACATACCAGTAGTTAAATTTCTTTCTTAACCCTGAAGAAAAAAAAAAATTTCCACACAACAGTTAAAAATGATAAATATGCTGTATGAACTTTTACAGAAGCACCATCAGACTTCAAACCTATTCACGTTTGTAATAGGCAGTTCTGCATTGAGCAGGCGACAGTACAGTTATGGAGCGGTAATGTAAAACCTAATTAGGCACCACCATGTCAGGTCTAGAGGGAGCAAAGCCATTAGCATATAAAAGCCCTGCTAGTGGTTTGAAGGTAGTTTGTAGGTGGTAAATCGAAGCCTGATCCAAAGGCAACTGGACTTAGATGAAGATCTTGAAGATGCTTCACTTCTCCAATGAAAGGCTTCTTCAGTCCTAAACTAACTGATGGACAGAGCTAGAAATGTAACCTTCTGTGGATCATTAGCGTGCTGATGATTTACAGAAGGTTACATTAGAGTCGTTAGTTGAGTGGTTGAACTACTTTCACCTAGAGTCGTTAGCAGGTGGTATGGGATTTGTATTTTGGTATTTGTGTCATGGAAACATACTGTAGTTGTGGTGTAACAACCTTTCCTTTTTTTACTTGGTCGTTGTTACAATCTTCACATGTACTGGAATAAGAGGCCTTGATGAACGAGTACCTGTAATCATGAGTCTTATCAGAGCGCTTTCACAGTTTAATACTCGATGTCTTACTTTCATTTGAACGATCACCTTATACATTCCTCTTCCTCCTCAGGCACAGGGCTGTCAACCTCTTTATCCAAGGCTACAATAAATCCTGGATATCTGCTGAGGACCTCAGCTTTGAGGAGAAGCTTGTTGAGGATTTAGCTGTGAGTGAAAAAACAAACCATATCCACATCCCTAGTTTGGAAGAAGACAGTCTTAAGAAATTGTGTCAAGAATTGATGTGGAATTACGGCTGTCCCACCTCTACAATTATGTGCGTATTTAAGTTTACTCAAATTTTATTGTGTTTTTAAACTGCCTACAGGACACACTTCCTGGCAGAACCTTAAATATGTCATATTTATTAAAAAAGTAAAACATAATCAGGGCCTTTTGGCTATTAGTTTAGAAGTCATCATAGTTTCAGACTCTGATCTTGTCCTTTTTTCATCATATCCTGCCTCCTGAGACCCCCCAACCTCCGCCCCACCCACATCCCGCTATAAGATGCACAAGTAAATAGGCAAGATTGCAGGATTTCAAGGGGAGTCTGTCCTGAATTTTCCAGATAATTAAGAGGAGTCAGGACAGGCGTGCATGTCTAAAAAAAGGCCCTTTCCCCTCCCTCTCTCTCTCTCTCTGGCCTGCAGAAGGGAGGAGTGACAGAGTTGTGTGGAGGCGACAGAGAGGAAGAAAAGGATGTGGGAGACGGTGCTAAACCAATTGATCCCCTCCTACAGCTCATTACACTCTTCAGTCGAAGCGCCCTGACAGAAAGGAGGTGTGTGCTTGTGTGGGTGTTCATTATAAAAGATCTCATGCAATAAAGACCCCATTCTACTTTTATTAATGGTCTAACCTATCACCAGGAAAGTCGATATTGAATTGGTCCGAGGCATGATTTTTGTTTTGGTCCGACACCTGTGATTATTGTCTTGTGAAAGGCTGAATTATGTTATATGTTTCAATTCATAGATTCAACCTGCAGAAAGGTGTACTGATTGCAATTTGTATCTCACATACGTTTTTATTGAACTCTAGTATTCAAATACGTGTGTCTTATTTATTCTGGGAGGTTGTGCATGGATGCCACTGATTGTGAAATCTAATTAACAGCACACTAATTTGTGAAATGTTTTTTTTTCTTCGTTTAGTTCCCCCCTGTTTATGGATGATTTGTTCAACCAATGCGATTTAGATATTTCTGAAAAAAAAAAAACATGATGTCCTGCAGAGACTAAAGATCCATCTTCACATTAATATGAACTGTTTCTCTCCAAGTCACTGTAAACAGATCAGGGGAGGGAGAGCACTCAGTGGCTTACACGACAGTACAGTGATCAAATGAGCAGGATTTAGATTTAGGCCTGTATCACAAAGTTAGTAAAAAAACATTTATCATCCCTCTCACAGATGTTTTCTTTTTGTTAACCCTTACCAAAGGCATCATTTCAATAATCACAAGACAGTCAAGCAAAGGTTCATGATCTATCCCTGAATGTGATCACATACAACTAAACACAAACAAGAACAAGTCTTCTAACAACACAGCGGCTTCTTCAACAAGCAACGAGCAAACTATAGTATTTGACAAACACAAAGATCTTGCACACATAATCTTGGAACAAATAGCAACTAAAATGCAGCTGCAGAACGTAGTTATGTGTACATTTAGGCTCATAGTATTACTGGTGATCATTAGTGTATGAGAATATCTGACTGTAACTCTATATCTGTATTACTCAAATGTATTTGTATGGCATGTATTAAAGTTTACAAGTCATGCTGCAACCAGGGTGGTTTCAAACATAAAGGGAGAAAATAAATAAATTATAATGCAAAATATGTTGAAAGTCAAAAGAAAGCTTACTATTATATCTTATAAGTTTAATAACTAGAATGTATCCAGTCTTTCAGGAAGTCTCTGTTGTAGGATCATATTAGGAAGATGTACAAATAGTTTATCTCAGGTCTTGTAGGGAAAGCCAAACTGTTTTGCCAGTCTCTGAACACTCTGGTCGTCCTCCCCTCTCACATCTTTGCACAGAACTCTGGGATTAAGAGAATTGACCGGTCGACAGGGGTTACATTTAAACAGGTTGATCTCTTATCTAGCTTTGGAGCAGGTAAAATGTGCAGGCCAGGGTTCATCCTGAAGTCATCCTGCACTGAACAGATCCAGTGGGGATCCTGCTCACTTTAAATCCTGCTTCCTAGTGCAGACCTTAGGTGAACTGCTGTGGTCAGTAAAACTGTTCAGTGCCACTGAGCAGCCCTGTGGGTAAAATACTCCAGGTCCACACAGCACTTTGTGGCTTTTCAAGGTGATGCTACATTAAACTTAGTAAACAAGGGGATCATGTTTAAGTGCTGTGAACAGATCTGCTGAGGATTGGATGCATATTGGCAGAGGAATTTTGTCATCGGCGAGCCATTTTTAGAACTCTCAATCTATCCCCACAAGGATACACCGGTAAACAATATTATCTCGTCTGTCTTCTCTTTCAGCAGAAAGCTTGGAAATGACAGTCTGTATAAGTCTTATGCTTCAATCATGGCAAAGGTAAGATAGGATAATTAATCACTTTTCTTCAATACAATCATAAACATTATCATGCAAACCTTACCCTTTTACTAACTGTAATGTTCCATTAGTTAGAGTAGTATCATTACACAGAAGTAATAAAGTCAGAATTGTGTATTTAAAGAGTGTCAGAGATAATCACAGCCAGTACTTGAGTTGAGACATTAAAGTGTAAAGAGACAGTGGTTTCCTCCCTCTTTTTATTCTTATTCGATGTTGATCGTTTGGCTTTCAGAGCTGCCAAAGTGAAGACGCTGATGATGAAGAGCAGGAGGCCAAAAGCTTTGAAGTGGGTGAATTGTCTCTTCAATCTTTTTAAATGTATTTTTTGTATAAATAATGATAATACATTAATAAACTATGAATATCAAATGTCAGTTTTCAGTGTTTTGATTATATATTTTGACGATTAAAGATCTAGTTGAGATACAATAATAAACGTCCCCTTCCTTGGTTCAGGAGAAGGAGATGGAGAAACAGAAGTTGCTTTACCAGCAGGCCAGGCTGCATCGTCGTGGAGCTTCTGAGATGGTCCTCCAAACCATCAGTGCCAGCAAAGGTAGGAAAACGTTACATACTACCGATAATCGTTTATATTGATGTCAGTCTAATGCCTGGTTGTGCACTGTAAGCAACTTTGTCTACTGAATAAAAAAAACAGGAATGAGCAGAACTCTCACCTCAGTAGCTGATACATACATTGAAGCATTACTTCCTGCCTAAACTTTTTCTTAAAGTACACTTCCTGATTGTGATCAATTTGTACATTCCACCAGGGGCCATGGGTGCGATGATCGCCCCCACATTGAAGCTGGGCATATCTGTTCTGAGTGGAGGGAATGTCACTGTTCAACAGGTACAAATCTACATTGTTTTCAAACATTCAAATTATTCATCATGTTTCTTTAGATCTACTAGATATGTTTACATATTACCCAATGATGTTCATATCATGAAACATAAGTATTATGTTTATTATCATGGACACTTATAATAGAAGTGAGTGGTCAAAGTACTTGGACATTAAGAAGCTGCAGCTAGTAGGGAAAAAAAGCAAGATTGATTGTATTAAAAAGAAAAATATCAAATATAAGAAACACAAGTATATACCGGTACATGAACAGAATATCAATCACATTATTACAGACTCTGGCTCCAGATAAGAAAAAATACAAAAGACATAAAATACATGAAATACTGAAAATATTGAAAAAGAAGAATAAAGCTGTTAAATATGTGGACTGTGTAAGATTTTACAATGGACAAAAAAAGTATTATATATTAGATAGTATAAAAAATATTTATTTTAATGAATACACATTCTCACTTTTGAGCCCATTACTTGTGTGGAGGATTTAGAGTTTGCTATCACGGTATATTTGTTGAGATGAAGAGCCTTTTTTTTTTCCCTTTTCGGATGATATCGCCCTTCAAATTCTCTTTCTTCTTATGAACAGAGACTTGACGCACAAACACTGCAGCAAAGCTTAACATGTAAAAAATGTTTTAACCTAATCACATCCGCTTCAGATGAGGTCCCCCTCCTTTTATCAGACCTTGTCTTTGATGCTTTTGTTGGACAGAAAATGCTGGATTATCTGAGAGAGAAGCAAGATGTTGGCTTCTTTCAGAGCATGGCTGGACTAATGCTGTCATGTAGGTGAGTGAATGGAGGAACATTCTCTGTCAAATGTCACAAACGCAGGCAGGCTTCATCTTCTGAATGATAAAAATAGTAAGAGCACTAAAGCTTTTTTTTTTCTGTCCTTTTGTGTGTGTGTTTTTTTTTCTATCCAGTGTTCTGGATCTGAATGCATTTGAGAGACAGAACAAAGCTGAAGGATTAGGCATGGCCATGGATGAGAGCTCAGGTACTGAATTCATATGGAAACACAAAAAGATGCATCTCTGTGTGAAGCCATGTCCTAGTAGAGGAGACAGCTGTGGGATCTCTGGTCTCGAACATAATCTGGATTCACACTTGCACAAATGCATTTTTTCTCTTCAGTATTACCATCAGCTGTCCATTGACTTAATTATTCTGTCACTCTACCTCTAAATCTTTGTACGTCCATTCATTTGCTACAACTCCATTTTTCCCCTTGACTCTTTTGTATTTTGCCCTTCACTGCCTTTTTTTTTCAGGAGAGAAGGTGATGCCTGACAAAGACGTAACCTGCGACCTGTTCCGTTTTTTACAGCTGCTCTGTGAAGGACACAACTCAGGTTATCCATCCTATGTTGCAGTTATCTGACACAGTGAGACAACAAATAGATGATGTTAAAGTCTATTCAGGATGAGGCACCACATACTGAAACACACACTAAAAATTTTTTTTGAATGTTTGTCACTTTACAGTATCAAAAGCTAAGCACTGATTCATTATTTCTGTTCACACATTTTCTTTACTCTAGCTGATGTCCATCCTCTGATAAAATTGTCTACACAGAGTGAGATGCATTCAAATTTTTCTTGGAAGGCCAACTCATCATGCTCTTACTTTTTCCATGTTAGATTTCCAGAATTACCTGAGAACACAAACAGGCAACAACACCACTGTCAACATCATAATATCCACTGTGGACTATTTACTGAGAGTGCAGGTAAGCAAACAGTTACATGCTCCTCAAGGATTGAGGCATTATTGTCCAAAAAATTATTTCTTTGGACATCATGAAACCCTTGTTTGGCTACTGGGTCAATACAGATCTGTCTTTCATCCATTTGAAGACGCTGATTAGAATTCATCACTTATAACATAATGACATTTCACAATGCTGCCTTGTCTGTTAGGAAGCTTGTTGTATAAGCTCTTTGACCCATTAAACATTTTTTTTTACCACACTGCAGGAGTCGATCAGTGACTTTTACTGGCACTATTCAGGGAAAGATGTGATTGATTTCCACGGCCAACAAAACTTCTCCAAGGCCATTGAAGTGGCTAAACAGGTCTTCAATACACTCACAGAGTACATACAGGTCAGTGAGCTTCCATGACATATTATAGTGTTACAGATAATCTTTTGAGCTTTGAGGCATGCAAGCATCTGCTTTGTGGCTCTTGACTGAATATATACTTCATTAGGTCCGCCTTTACAATAGAATTGCTTTAATCCTACATGCTCTGTTATGTGTTCTACATGTTACAAAGCTTGTAATTTTCAGTATTTGTTGACACTGTCTAAAAGAAGGCTGTACTGTTTGCTTAATTATTGACTTATTTGAGGCCAGTAATGATACACTTGTGTTTCTAATACTCGATCCCTGTCATGTATGGAAAGTGAGTGAATAAAATATATGGTACACCTTCCAATAAAATGCCATCCCCGCTGTCAAAACCAAGTATAACTACCTCAAAGATAAAAATGTTGTTTATCAACACCACTCTGAAAGTGACAATTACGACTAAGGTTGGCAAAATTGACATTGCTTCAATTCTGCATCTTTTAAGTGATACAATCTGGTAGAGTGGAATAGAGAGGAATTGATGATAACTGCACAGAACATCATTGTTCATAACTGAACATTATAACATTATTCAAGGAAGAATTTATGGCAGAAAAGTTGTTCCTGAATTCTACCAGTTTGGATGCGTCTGCTCACGTTGTCATCATACGCAGGGTCCATGTACCGGGAACCAACAGAGTCTTGCTCACAGTCGCCTGTGGGACGCTGTTGTGGGATTCCTCCATGTCTTTGCTCACATGCAGATGAAGCTCTCTAAGGTATAGCACATTATTTCACTGGCATTCAAATATTTTGATTCCCTGCTAAATTATGCAGAAACATAAATAAAGACATGAAATAAAATGTGTGACTTGCTAGAAGTTAAAGATATTTCCTTTTACACAGGACTCAAGGCAAATTGAGCTGCTGAAGGAGCTCATGGATCTACAAAAGGACATGGTTGTGTTTCTGCTTTCCATGCTAGAAGGCAAGATATCCACTTATCCTACCATATTGGTCGTAGTTTATGAATTGGAAACGAGTTAATCTTAATAGATGTCTTTGCTCTACCCTGAAGGTAACGTTGTCAATGGAATGATTGGAAAGCAGATGGTGGATATGTTGGTGGAGTCATCAGGAAACGTGGAGATGATCCTGAAGTTTTTTGACATGTTTCTTAAACTTAAAGACCTCACCTCCTCTGAAGCATTCAGGGAGTACGACCCTGATCATAAGGGATGTATCTCCAGGAAGGACTTCCAGAAAGCAATGGAGAACTGCAAGCGTTTCTCACAAACTGAGACTCACTTCCTCCTCTCCTGCTCGGAGGCTGACGATAGTGATATTGTGGATTATGAGGCGTTTGTGGATCGTTTCCATGAGCCAGCCAAAGACATCGGCTTCAGCATTGCTGTTCTTCTTACCAATTTGTCCGAACACATGCCAAATGATATAAGACTAAGGACATTCCTGGAACTGGCAGAGTGTGTCCTGACTTACTTCCAGCCCTATCTGGGACGTATAGAGATTCTCGGCAGTGGGAAGCGCATTGAACGTGTCTACTTTGAAATCAGTGAATCCAGCCGCACACAATGGGAGAAGCCTCAGGTGAAAGAGTCCAAGAGGCAGTTCATTTTTGATGTCGTCAATGAGGGTGGCGAGAAGGAGAAAATGGAGATGTTTGTCAATTTCTGTGAGGACACCATCTTTGAGATGCAGCTTGCTGCCCAGATCTCTGGCTCTGACACTGGAGAGAGGTGTGTTGAAAAAGAAGATGGGAGTGAAGACGAAGGTCATGACAACAAAGGAATTTTCTTCCTTTATCAGTGGATGTTGTTGCTGACATCTTTACTTTCTGTCAAAAACCTGAAATTCATAATGAAGATGTCCTTTAAGGATATCCTCATGTCAGCTCTTTTCTTGCTCAGATTCATTGCTATGGCTCAGGTTCGGTGTGTTTGTGCCGTGGTTCACAGCATCTTATATGTGCTGTATATAGCTTTTGTCAGTGGTGGGCTTATAGAGGCAGCCAAAAGGATGAAAATATCTGACTTGCTGGGTGGGATCCTGGAACCAACTCTTGATGAGGTCATGGAAGTGCCAAGCGGTGTGGATCGTCTGAGGAAGTATCCTGCCAGTTTTTCTTCCCAGAGAGAGTTGAGGGAGATTGGGCAGGAGGCAGCTGTGACCTCCCCCAGGGACGTGGATGTACTGTCAGACATATTTGGCCTCCAAGTGAAGAAAGAGGGAGGTCAATACAGACTTATAACACAAGACCTCACTGCCAGTCTGTCTGACCTGTTCAACACAGCCTCCAGAGCAATTTCCACCACTGATTTTTCTGAGAAGCAGCAGGTGACCGTACAGATTCTTTTGTATGGTTTGATAATGATATCCATCACTGTTTTTTAAAAATCTTTTAACACTCAGTATGTTGGATTTTACCCCAAGAATCAGGACAATTTTTTAACTTTAGCGCTGCTTTGATACTCTGATTAATATGAATTTTGGATTTCCTCATGAATTTTATTTACAGCATCTTAAAGCCCACACCGCCCCAGAGGAAAAACCAGAAGATGAGGAAATACATCTCACAAAGTAAGTATCTTGCTCCCCCATAACATCCTGCATTACCTTCTTGTCAAATTAAAGCCATTTGACATTCCCCTGTTTGGATGGGCCTGTTTGCAGAGGGAAGGAATCTGAAAAGAAAACGGGGAAGGAGGAAGCTGAAGCAGAATTAACATCCAAGAAATGCTCTCACAAGTCGGAGGAAAAGGATCGTCAACGGTCTGCTCTCTTGGAGATTATAAGCACTCACAACAAGAGCCTGCTGGTATTAAGTACACTTAGTTAGTCACTTGAGTTTGCATGCGCAGTCACAAACACACAAAGGAAATCAACACTTGAATACCTTTTCTCTTTCTCCCAGAATTATTTTGCAAGGAATTTTTACAATATGCGGTTGCTGGCTTTGTTTGTCGCCTTTGCAATCAATTTCATCCTCCTCTTCTACAAGGTGAGTGTTCTTGTGAGAGATATTCTTAACTACACCACTTTAATTGGAGAGTATTTGACAAGTAATTAAGTGTACTTTATTAAATACCAATTTTGAGGTACTTCAACCTTAGATGATACAATTGTTTGTGGGAAATAATGAGCATGCCAATATCATTCATGATATTTTAAGCCTGTGTACATAATCCACTTATATTATCCTTTCCACTCAAACTCTAATATAATCCACTTCACTAAATATTGTTTAATTTTTTAATTTTTTAATTTTTTAAATTTATTTTTGTGCATTCAGATAGAACTGAATTATATTGAATGTTTTGTCTTTGGTGCAGTCATTCTTTGATTTTGTCCTACTTTCTCCCCAGGTCGCATCCTTGCCTGCATCACAAGAAGAGAAAGAAGTGATCGCATCTGATTATACTGAGGAACTGAGCTCTCCTGCTGAAGATGACAATGAGGCCGAAGTTTATTTTGTGCTCGAGGAGAGCAGTGGATACATGGAGCCATCACTCCATTTCCTGGCTGTAGCACACACAGTCATCTCCTTCTGTTGTATGATTGGTTACTACTGCCTTAAGGTAAACCACAATGAACTTTCAATGATTTGTTTTTTTAACTTTTTTTTTTTTTTTTTTTGCTTACAAAGAGTCTTTTACAAATAATTTGAATGTCTTAGATTTTAGGCTTTGCAAACTAAACTAGTTCATTTTTTATTCAAAAAATCAAGTAATGCTGTTGTGCATATGATTGGCAGGTACCATTGGTTATTTTCAAACGTGAGAAGGAAGTGGCACGAAGGCTGGAGTTTGATGGGCTGTATGTGACAGAGCAACCGCCTGAGGAGGACATCAAAGGGCAATGGGACCGACTGGTCATAAATACACCGTATGTTCAGAGTCACTTGACTTGAAGCTGAGCCCATGTCATATTTACATTAAATATAAAAACATGGCTCACACTTTATATTAACCCACCACTTATAATGAAACATGTTTTACGTTCAGTCATGGCATTAGTAAGACAGTACAGAATATTAACTGTCAACATTATTTTGTATGTAACTAAATGTTGGATTAATTTCTGATTCTGTCTTTTCAGATCCTTTCCGAGTTATTACTGGGATAAATTTGTGAAGAGGAAGGTAAGATCTCTGGAAGACTTCAGCAGTAAGTTTTCACAGCAAACATATTATATGTTCTAGTCTTAATGTGCCTATCCATGCCTGCAATTGTGTTCATATTTCACTCAGTGATGCTGCACCAGGAACTAAATGAAATTTAATGAGCCATTTAATGGCATGTGTAATTATTCTCGGTTATCAAAATTATTTGATTTTCCTCTCCAGAGACAGTGCAACACTTTTAACTTCCTCATTCAGGTTCTCTCTCCTGTTATGGAGACATATGAAGTAATTTCTGAGTTTTAGAAACTCCTCATACTGTAAGTCTTTAAAATAACATCTTACTAAGATGAACCATTAAAAACTTTTGGTCTCTGAAATGAAACTCAAATACTGTAACTGGTTTTAGTACTTAACAGATTAAAGCATTAAATCAGCAGGAACAGACATCAAAATCCCAAAGTCTTTAAATATCTTCCAAAGAGCACAAAGCTTAATCCTTTAAATCAAACTTCCTTTCAATCAAACATTCTTTGAGAGATACCTGTCTGGTAGCTGTAATATATATGGTAATAAGGGAAGTTTTTTGTATGTACACATGTATGTTAATGTAGGTTGTGAAAAGGTCAGTTACTTATACTGTATATTGTTAGCCTGATTTCTAGCCCAGGTGTTAATATTATTCTAAAGGGTTAGTAGGTCTTTTGTTGTAACCAAATCCTCCCAAGACTGCTGAACGGTGGTGTCACATACATATTTAACGGGTACACGGGGAGTGACGTTTCCATTGAAGGAGAATAAACCTACAAGCAACCAAAGTGGTGACGACATCAGACTGTGATCTCTTTGGAATGGCTTGAGCTCTGAATATGACGTTGAAGAGTTATTGCCAATGACCAATGCTCAGATATCGGTGGTATAGAGTCACCAGGGAGTTTTTATTTTTTTAAACATCTGTTGCATTTAACAGTTTTGTCAGGACTCATCTAAGATACTCTTGAATTATTGAAGTGTGTGTAATCTTTCACTGCAGTAGATTGTTCCTTGCACAATCTATTAAATGAAAGACTGAAGCCGGATGTGACAATGCATGTAAGGTATAACTTTTTAAAGGATCTCCTCAGAGCTGTAGATATTTTAGAGACAGCTTGTAATTACCCTTTAATAGATTTGCATCTGAAGGTGCTTTCTCCTCAAGCCTCTGTGCCTCAGAGTCTGCCTCCTGGTCATTTTTAAAGTTTGCAACATTGTATTTTAGAATGTGCACTGCATCCCACTTTAAAAGCCAGTAGTAAAATTGATAGTATAATGCCTTGAAGTGGTTCTGGTAATCCACTTCTGTGTTTGGAAGATGTTGATATTGCCTCCCATAAGTCTTTATGTTGGTAATAACAAAATGGCTCTCTAATAAAACTTGACTTTTCGTTGGCCCCTGTTTTTAGTCAATAAATAAAGATCCATAAAGTTTCAAGCACCATGAGAACAAACTTTGCGTCCTTCATAGCCGAGGTTCAGCTAAAATCAGCAACCATGTAGGAGGATGAAGGTTGTAATATAAGCAGAGATCAATATCCATAATATATACGCTGTACAAATGTAAGGGAACGATAACACGGATCAGAGTTACATTGGTCATTAACACAACCACTGAGCCGCTACGAGGGGGTGCAGTCTCTATGGCCCTTAAAAGCACCGATAAGAAAATCCAGAGCTTTTGGTTCAGTATCTATTAGCAACACGTTCTTGCTGTCAGCAGAACCAAACTGCCAGCTCACTAGGCACAGACGGAGCAGAATAATTCCCTCATGTAATTGGTTATTCAGATAAAAATACTCCGAAGGGATTGATGTTTAAGTCACTGTGTAAACATGTCTTTTCCCCCTGTCAGGTGATGGATAAGTACGGTGACTTCTATGGCTGTGAGAGGATCAGTGAGCTCATGGGTCTGGACCAAACCGCTTTAGACTTCAGCTCTGAGAGAGAAGAAAGGATGAGGCTCGAGAGAGACACTGCCTGGAGTGCTCTGTGAGTAGAAAAAAAACAAAACATAAGACTCTCCCTTTCTGTATTCATGAGGGATTTAGGGGAAACTTTAGCCAGCTAGTTTTTGTAATTTCTTGTGCCTCATGTGCAGTTTTATACCTAAAAAGATGGTGGATTGTTGAACCAAATAGAATTTTAAACAGATGTGCCTTGTTTTATACAATGAGGCATAAATAATCATGCATTGATTTTTTTTCCCAGTGTAATTTATACATCATTGTCATGAATGATAAATCATTAGGCCTACGATTTGGTGATATAGCATGCAAGGAGCAGGTGACTGTAAACAAAACAGCTTGCTTTTCTGTAGGTTTGCTTCCTGCATGTTTTCATGCAAAGACCAAGATATTGATGAAAATGAAAAATTAATATAGCCCTTCTTTATTTTACCCTAGAATTATAGGAATCCTACAGTAAGTGACTAAGTGTCATGTCCAGCTCATGTTCCTCCACCCTTTACGTTACATTGCAGCTGCTTGAATATTTATATTCTTTGCTCTTATTAATAGCCATTTCACAAAAAAATGTGTTTGTGACTTGTACCTAAAATTGGAGGCCAGACTAAAGCAGGTCCAGGAACATTATGGTGACTTGAAGAAGAACAGGACATTCAGAGATAAAGTCACATCATACACAGGCTCTCTAAGAAGAGACACTGTTGCAACATGGGGTCTGATTTTAGCCATGGACATTTTGACCTTACTCTCCCGGTGCTTGCCGTCATGTGTCTTTGTGACGGTCATATTTATTTCAGATTTAACTCCATTGACGTGAAGTACCAGGTCTGGAAACTGGGAGTTGTGTTCATTGATAATGTAAGTTTGGTTCTGTCAATATTAACATTTTTAATGCCTTTTTACTGTTTCCCAAAATAACAAGGTTAAGGTGTCACCGCCTAGATAATCAGATATCATTAATTAGTGTGTGTAAAGCCTGTTTGATATATGACCCTTACCTACCGTAAAATCAAATTTAAAATACACACTTTTAATACCTATTTTTTTAACCAAAAAGTCAGCTGCATCCTATATACGGATGTGACAAATATACCAGTAATATGACAAATATACCAGTATAGAATGCTTACCCAGGTGCCCTCATGACTGTATGTTCAGATGCTGCCACCATCACTCACTGCATGCGAAATGAAGATATTGAAAATTTGCCTCCATTCATTGTGTAGGTCATAATCCTGTGTACAAAGAATACGGTGGTATAGTATTAAGATAATAAACCTTTGTGGAGTGATTGATTTAAAGACTCCTCAATTAAAGTGAAAGAATGACCACAGAGGTGTGCAGCATGACTCACAGCCGGCTCTGGGTCCATACTTCAAAACTTTCACAGTAGGCTGAGATCTCAACTAACGTACTGTAGCTTGTAGAAGTGCAAACTCCTACAAGTGAAAACAGATGGTACTAAAAGAGCGACACATCTGCACGGAAACTGCATGTTTAAGACTTTGATAAACCTTTTTTTTTCTCTCTGGGAGACCCCCAAAACAGACTGTGTCTTATATCCTGGTATGACTTTTATATTGGCCTTTACAGTAATGTGTCTTATCTCTTATGCTACTGTTCTAATATTAGTTAAATACAATGGCACATGCTGCAGGTGTGGCAGTAGTAATATCCTGTGACTCAGCCTTATCTAAAACACACATTTGTCTCTGTATCTGTCCTTGTAATCTATACTGCCTGATTTGATGTGTGTGTTTCCTTCTCTGTGTGCTCACAGTCCTTTTTGTACTTGGCCTGGTACATGACCATGTCAGTTTTGGGCCATTATAACAACTTCTTCTTTGCTGCCCACCTTTTGGACATCGCCATGGGCTTTAAGACACTTCGTACAATCCTTTCTTCTGTCACACACAATGGGAAACAGGTGTGTGTGGCCCTGTCTTTAATTATTTATCCATCTGTCCTTAATGTGTGTTCAGAGGTGTAGTTTGGTTGGGATGTTTGCTTTCACACTTAGGGGTTGTATTGGGGCTTTTCCAAGAAGAAGAAGAAGAAGAAGGGTATTAAAGCCCATCTGCCTGTGGTGCATTTTTGTAATTATGTGTGTGTCTGTCAGTTGGCACTGACTGTTGGCCTGTTGGCGGTTGTGGTCTATCTCTACACCGTTGTGGCCTTCAACTTCTTCAGGAAGTTCTACAACAAGAGTGATGACGATGACACCCGGGACATGAAGTGCAATGACATGCTAACTGTGAGTAAAGTGTGTATGTTGACACAGACACACACTCAAACAGTCTGTCTCTCTTGCCTTCTCTATCTTCCTTTATCTGCCCTCTCTTATGTTTATCTCTCTAATACAAATTCAGCGACACCTCAATTTCGAACTACTTAAAGTGAAAGGAGAAGGGGAGGATTCTGACGGTAATCCCCATTGTTGGAGCCTCTTGACTTGTCCTTCATACTTTTCTATTGAATGATGGACAGATGGATAGAAACCGCTCCTGAAGCCTCAGCTTTGTGTTTTGTTTGACTGTTAACACCTCGACTGACTGCTTTATTCTAATGTGGACTTGACTGTCACTCACACAAGCAGGAGGATGAGAAGTGATAGTATTTGAATAAAACCCTCCTTGTATAATTTAGGCAACAATAGGATACTCAAGTAAATCCTGGTTCACACCAACTGTGTAAATGCTGTGTCTTTATCCACAGTTATTTCCTATTCTATTCACATTTCCACCCCACAACCAACATTATTTAGATGAGTAAAGTCCAAAATGGAATAATATGTATCTTACTATAAACAGAATGCTTCTCAATATCTAATTTTTAAATCTTTTTTAATTTTTTGTATCTAAGAAATTAAGGAGCCCCCAAAAACCAAATAAGAAACCTCCCAAGAATACTTCCACATTTTGAATGTTCCTTCAAATTTGAGCTGTGAATTTTGAAGTTGTTTTTTGTTCAAATACCTTGCTGAAAATATCCTTGGCACCTTGCCCAACCACCTGAAAGCTAATTCTTCTTACCCCATACTCTTACATAATATCCTTGAGGGCTCAAAATGTCTTGGGGGAAGACTAAGGATTTAAAAAGCCTTCACATATTCTGTGCAACTGTGTTCAAATTCTGCCTGTCTGAAACTTCTAAATGCCCCTGGAAAAGCAACCAGAACAGAGACGGGGATGACAATGCATGAAATGAATGCTTGCTGTTTGGAGACACCATACTGTAACCCTCCTTAAATACTTAACATGTTTTCACCCTCGTCTCCAACCTTGTCAGAAACAAGTTTGACTTGAGTAGTTTGAGGAAATAATGTCCTCATCCTCAAGTTAAATGCATATCAGAAATGAAAATGTATTGTCTTTCAGTGCTACATGTTCCACATGTATGTGGGAGTGCGTGCTGGCGGGGGCATTGGAGACGAGATTGAGGACCCAGCTGGAGATGAGTTTGAAGTGGAACGCGTTGTCTTCGACATCACATTTTTCTTCTTTGTCATTGTCATCCTCCTGGCTATCATCCAGGGTGCGTCACACACACACACACACTTCAGTCGTTTCACAAGCACAGTTCAGCTTGAGGAAATGTAAACGTGCATTATTATGCACATCACACAAATACTAAATATTCACCTAAATATTCACCTTAACTACGAGACATTTAATGCATTTTTTATGTGGAAATGAAAAAAAAGAACATAGTATTTGTATATTCCCCCTGAGTCCTTGAAATTTTCAAACACCTGTTATTCAGAGACAAGCACAGCCATACACATGCCTATCTGTACACCAACAGACACACAATCTTCAACTTTCTTTCAGGCTTGATAATTGATGCCTTTGGGGAGCTGCGTGACCAGCAGGAGCAGGTGAAAGAGGATATGGAGGTGAGCTTTGACATTCTGTCTCACACGTACATTCTCTCAAACACAATTTACACACTGAAAAGAACAATCCAAACCATTTGGATAAACTATGTAATTAAGGTTTAACAATATCCACTGTGTTGTCAGATTTATATGGACGGTGAAGGATAAATACACAGTCAGTAGCAAAGTAAGGTTGAGGTCAGTTGTAATTTATCTTGAAAAGATGACTGATTGAAAAAGGAAAATGTTTTTGTGGTAGCACATATATCAAGAAAGCATGGTACCTACTGTACTCTACTTCTCCTAAATAAGTGGTGGGTAATACTTGGTGGATTGCTCCCTTCCTTTGGGGAGTAAGTCTTGGCTTCAAGCAAAGGAGTTCAAGTATCTGGGGGTCTTGTTCACGTTAAAATTGATCATCAGATTAGATTTGTGCAGCGTCAGTAGTATTGCAAGTGTTTTGCTTTCGATTTACCTGTTAATCTACCTTCCAACCCTCATCTATGGTCATGCGCTGTGGATAGTGACCAAAAGAATGAGATTGAGGAGACAAGCCGCCTGAATGAGTTTCCTCAGAAGGGTTGCTGAGCTCAGCCTTAGAGATAGGGTTAGAAGGTCGGACATCTGGAGCGGCTCCTTCGCATCAAAAAGACTCAGTTGAGGTGGTTCTGACATCTGATCGGGATGCTTCCTGGTCGCCTCCTTCTGGAGGTTTTTCCGGGTACGTTCAACTGGGAGTAGATTCCAGGGGTAGACCCAGAGCTTGCTGGAGGGATAGTATAAATCCCCTCTGGCCTGCGAATGCTTTGGGATCCCCCAGGAGGAGCTGGAAAATGTTGCTCGGCAACTTGCTTAGCCTGCTGCCACTATCACCCGGCCCTGGATAAGTGGAAGGTAATGGATGGATGGGATAACTCAAATCCCTCATGTTTCAAATTGGTGTATTTGAAATTCGAAAAAAGGAAATTTGTAAGGGATAGTAAAACTTTACGGCTAATAAAAGAACCAATCTGCTTATGTCTGGGTCATGAATCACATTGTTGGGGTTTATTTCTGCTGTAATGATCTGCTTCCTGTACATTACACTGCTTATCAGATGTTGACAGACGTTACAATATTCATCTTTTGAATATTAACAATACAACAATATGGAAACACAAATGTTGCGTGGCAGTTATTTTATTGTGCAACAGTAGACACTGTAGCGCTAGCTAGAACTTGTTGATTTATTTGTCACCTGGCTCTTTGTCTCTTTGACCACTCACCCTTTGACACAGCGTCAACAGGATCTTGGGCTTTATTTTATTAAGTAGTTGTTAATATACCAGACTTCTTCGTGCAGATTGACATAAGACTTGATACAAATATCAGAACTGCTCCCGTACCTTAATTCGTTATTCATAGGAGCAGTCTTTTATATGATATAAACAGAGTGTAGCAGGCTGTAATTTACTGTCCTTACCAGATGACTGTAGAGCCTATAAGTTCTTTCTGTCTCTAAGTCCTGTGTTAATCATGCTTTGCTTACGGACACAACTCTGTTGCTCAAACTCTTAAGAGAATTTAAGTTCATTTGGAGCTGGGCTGCATAGTGTTCCAGTGGTTAATTCAGGAAGGTTCCTGGTTCTAATCTCTGTCGAACAGGACCTTTCTCTGTAGAGTTTGCATGTTCTCTCTGCGTGTGTGGGTTTTCTCAGGGTACTCTGGCTTCCTTCCACAGTCCATGTTAGATTAATTGGTGGTTCTACATTGCCTGTAGGTGTGAATGTAAATTGGCTGGTTGTCTGTCTCTATGTCAGCCCTGTGATTGACTGGCAACCGGTCCAGGGTGTACTCCGTCTCTCGCCCAATGTGGGTAAAGAGATGTAGATAATCAATGGATGAAGTTAAATAGAATACTAAAGGTAGTAGACTACAAATGAAGATGCTTTTCATCATACTCACATTTCCATAAACTTTAATGCTAAGAGATGCTTGAGTGTAACTCTTCTTTTGCTTGAAGCCTGTTGAGTGGCTTTATAGCGCATGTAGCCACAGACAAAAAGCCCTCAGCAGCACGCCTCTTAAAGCTGCAACAGGTGCAATCAGTATCCCACCACAGCAGACTCTGCAGGAAGGACAAGTAAGGTTAAGAGAGACTGTCTGATGTGGCCAAGCAGGCTGACAATAAGCAGCAGGCATGTAATGAGAACAGGCGAATGGGTCCAAAGGTGCAGGAGCAACAGGAAGATAATTAAAGGCTGGATTGCTTAAGCAAAAAGGCAGCACAGAGGATCTGACACACAGAGGATAATATGAAGGATTCACGTGTGATGCCACTGATCACATAGTTGTTACAGTCACTATCACTTGACAAACACATTGCTTTGTAAGAAAAAAACTGCTGTTTTGCAAAACAGTTGGGGGAAAAAAGAAAGGAAAAAGATTTATGGATGGTGAAAGGCTAATGAGAACAGAAGCAGGCTGGGTCTCTGACACTGTTATGACTCTGATTAAACTTTAGAATTTTGTCTAAATTATCTGCTTTAAATTAGTGCTTTCATTTTGTACCACTGTGGGACATTTACCACTGTCGAAAGAAAAATCCAAGAATCCAAAACACAAGTTCATCGTCATTCAGTTGTAAAAACAAAAAATAAACCTTACAATGCCTTCTCAGTAAAAATGGAAATAGTTTGACTGTTTAGTACCCCCAAAATGAGGCAAATCCTCTGCAGATATCCCCCTATGGGACTTGTGGACCAGTGAGTAGCGAGTTATTTAGATTTAACTGCCTTTTGTGGAAAATCTTAAGAGCTGTTATTGTGCTTCAAGATCATGTTTGAGTCATGCCGTACTATTTTTCCTGAAAGTCCTCCAGAGAACATCATGTACGTTTCCAGTCCGTTTCATGAATCTTTACGTCTTTTATCTCTCCTCCCGCAGACCAAATGTTTTATATGTGGAATGGGAAGTGAATACTTTGATAAAGTCCCCCATGGCTTTGAGACTCACACTCTTCAGGAACACAACCTATCCAACTATCTGTGAGTCCTTTAATGCTCGATAACATCCAGCCTTGGGTTGCCAGTGTTGCAAGCTTAAACTTTTACAAATACATAAAGCGTTGCAACTTCAGATGATATCACTGAATGGCAGAAATGTATCATGAGACCTTCCACTGTTATTATGACGCTTAAATATTCTGCATGCTCCACCGTCACTAAACATTGAAAGAAACAAAACTGCAATAAGACATTGCATCCTTTTCTTAGTTTTTCTGTTTAATCCACCTTTGAAACACTAATACTTTAAACGTTTAAATGTTTTATTCTGTTTTGTTTTTGGCCTGATCTTGTTGTTGAATATTAATCTACATCTACTTCCAACATTAACCTGTGCCCGTGTATATATACTCCAGACTGTCAATTATCATAATAATTCATATTTAGCTCATTTGCTAACAGCATGTCAATTTGATATTTATACAGTAGTGACAATCAGGTCAAACTGCAAAACTCAAAATCTGTAGTAAAAGATTTGAAATCTATTGACTGTCTGAAAGCAAAAAAAAAAAAATACTGTATAAGGGCTTGGTATTTCCAACAACCCCATGATACGATACGTATCACGATATGATACACATTATCCAAAATCAATGTATATCACAATATGATACATATTGTGATATACATTGATTTTGGATAATAACCATGTCCTATACAGAATTCACTACAACAGCTGTTCTTTAGTGTTGAGAATAGAACAGCAGAGGCATATTAAGGATCATACAAAGGCAAACACTTCAATTCAGGATCCTCAGAGATCCTAGATACATTAAAATATTTTAATCCCAGAGCCGTGGCTATGGCGTTATTGTGAACTGCATCATAGCTCAATTGTATTTCACAACTGTCAGCACAGCTGTGCAGCCATATCAGTTCTGTAACGTCTGCATCAGTACATGTATTTGTAAGGAGCACATGATGATATATTGCCATATTGTTTTTTTTTCATATACATATATACAGTATTTATATAATTGTTGTTTGTTTGTCCAAAAGCTGAAGATGTCAAAGTTTCATAACCTCAAAAATATATACATTTATATATTGGCAGGTATGAAACCAAACAAACCACAGGATGCAAACACGTAAACATTTTCCACCACTTCTATTCTCAAATAGTAAGAATTAGAACTATCCTTGTATACTATTATAAAACTTGATACAAATAGGGTACAAGCTAGAGCAATGCTCTTTTAACAATCAGCATTAATGGAAAAAACAACATGATTTTTTCATGGAGAGATGTTATGAATTTTGAACAGAATAACCCACATTAACCTTTCATAAAATGTTGTTAAATCAAAGAGCAATTATAGATTTAAATAAATTTTTAAATTCCAAATATTTTACTTTGAACTTTTTCCAGTTTTTTAATGGTAAAATAAAATCTTATTTGTTTGGGGCTGTAGCATTTCAAACCTGCCAAATAATTGCCACTGGCAAAAAGCATGTTAAGCCTAATTATAGTGGATTATTCAATTTTTGTTTACATCCTCTGACTGAGGGACTCCTTTCTGCCTATTTCTTTGTATGCATTATAATTCTTTATGCAAAATCTAATGTTACATTTAAAAAAAAAAAAACCCTGATTGTCAAAATAGAGCAGAATGTCTTTGTCACACCTCCAGTTGAAATACTCACCAACTGTTTGTGCGTTCACCTTAACACGTTGTCTCGTGTCCCGGCTCTTGATTTAATGCTACAACTTTCTAAAGGAGTGTCTATGTCTTCAATTTTAATCCAAATATGCGTTGCAGGTATTTTGGCTGCCACATGATTCAATGTTTTTGTTTCTTTACAGATTTTTTCTGATGTACCTTATAAACAAGGATGAAACTGAACACACGGGGCAGGTATACTAGCAATCTCTCCTGTTTTATTCCTTTTTGTTCAATCAAATTTAGAAAAGCTATGCTGTTGAAGATCTTACACAGCTCATCTGTCAGTCCCAAACTCCACATTCCTTTATACATCCTTCCACAATGCTTCAAGCTTGTCTCAGTGACCTTTTAAATTCCAGCATTTGTCATGTCTGTGACAAAGCTGTAGTGTAACCTTTTCAACGAAGAGAGGATCAGTATTTACACTGTCTCTCAAAAGCGTTATCACTACCAGCACCCACATTTTATGATAATACACATGCCAGGCATTCCTGTTGATTATCATTCCTGTTTTAACTCCTAAATCGTTGCCAGTGGGCAATGTTTGTGTTTTATACTGACAGTGGGCAAGTTCTCCCTCCACTTCTTCACATCTTTGTCTGTATAACAGAGCGAAGGAGTGCTTTCTATCAGCTTTAACTTTCTCATGCTTCACGCTGGGTTTAAGTAAACCTTGTAAAACGAGATCAGAATCAATAAGTCCCTGTTCAATAGCAACTGCACAGTGTCAAAAAAAAAAATCAAAAATCTATTCTCATTTGAAATAATAATAATAGTTTGGCTTCTTTCTTGTGGCACATGATACATGTTGAATGTGATGTCTCAGATGAAAAGAGGGTTTTTTGTATCACCCCAGATAATTTTGGCTGATTGGGAGTTTTTCCAAAATGAGTTTGGTCCTGGGACTCGTCCTCAAAATGACTATATTTAGTTGTTATTTTTTATAGCTGTTTATAATGAAAAGTCTGCTAAGTTGACATGTGGGCATTTTCTCTTTTGGGATAGAAAAATATTGTTAGAAGTTATTATTTTTTTATACAGAGAGTGTCTTGATTGTTATTTTACGGGTTCATAAAAAGAAAGACAAAAAAATGCTAAGATTATATTGTTAAAGATAGAGTTAGTAGCTTTCCCCAAAAAAAATAAAATATAGACTTATACAAAAGTAATGCTGCTCATTTTTCACCTACAGTATGGGCCTTGATACATGTGTGGTGGTGACTGTCTACAGAGACCCCGTCCTCTGCCTGGATTTAATGTTTTGTTTTTATTTTGTTCAAACGGGCTGTTTCTGGGTGGGGAGCAGGTACATGTATATTTCCCCTAGCCAAGATGGCTCACAGTTGACTTTAGGAGAGGATATATGATTGACCGATTGGACATGTTTCAAACTGGCAAATATGATAATATAATGAGAATTATTGCCTTTATAGCAATGCTTTGTGAAGTTTGACTGAACCACATTATCAACAAAAGTGTGTAGAAGAACATACCGGTGAACAGAAAACATAATGCAGCCATGTCATTATGTGCAAGGAGATTGTTGAAGGTCAGTGCAGACAGTCTATGCACTGTGCACTGGTCACAGGATATAAACATCACCTTCCCCCCTTCCACTCACTCAAGGTGAATTCTCCAGCGGTTAGCTTGTGCTAGCCTGCTTAGTTATTGGCTTTTCCATTACCACAAACATAATAGCTTCTCAGGTAGCTTGCAGTGTAGATTCAATCAGTAAACGTACACACCAAGTCCTGTAGTAGACGAGCACTTCTGGGGACGATGTGTTTACAAGCTGCATCAAACATTGCTACTGACTCTACCTTTAAGTTTTAAAGATGAAGAAAGAGAAAACAAAAAAAATCTTATATTATAATTTCTTAAAAATGTTTAATATAACTGTAGTAAATGTAAGGAAATATGAGTTTTCCTCCATTACCTGGTGTTAGGGCGACATAATTAACCACAAAACCCCAAAAATGTTTTAATATTTAAAATAAATATCCTGTCAGATTTTTCTCCTCGTGTCTCACAAGTGAAACTAAATAGTTAGTGATTGGGACTTATACAAAATTGGTCATATTCTTTATGGATACATTTAGTCATGAACCAGGCGCCATTAGGCCGACCATCGCTGATCATTAAGGGGTAATTTTCCCCAAAAGCATGAAGAGTAAACATTCAAGTAATCATGAAAATTTGATAAACTGCAAAATTGTGTTTATATAATTGTTGGATTAACCCTCTCTAAAAATAGTGCAAACCCTGTATTTAATTCATCTAATGTGCTCACCCTCAAAGAATGGACACCAGAGGCATTACTGATGACTCAGCAGATAAATTACCGCTCTGTTGTCTTTGCCAGGAATCCTTTGTGTGGAAAATGTACCAGGAGCGTTCCTGGGAATTCTTTCCTGTGGGAGACTGTTTCCGTAAGCAATATGAGGATCAACTGGGATGAAAAGAAATCAGAGAGATCTAAAGCCTCCCTAGATAACTCCATCACGCAGAAGCCATTTTGATTGAATACCTTTGACTCACTGCATTACCTTGAGTTTTCATGTCTGCACCGCATTGATTTTTGAAGTGATTTTCTATACTTTATTCATGTCTCGTTCTTTCTTTTACATGCTTTCTACACTTATGCACAGTAGTATTTCTAAACTATTCATTAAATTATTGTAAAACTAAAGAGGGGGGAGTCTAATTCAGATTTTCTGTTCTGATGTGTCTCTGCAAAGCTCATATTTTATTTAAGGAAGTGATTTGTCTTTGTAAGAACAACCTCCCATCCCTCTCCCCTGTGTGACATCCAGATAAACACTCTCCCTATAGCTGTTGTTCTTTTTACCCTCCTCTTGTCTGCTCTGCTTGTCTCTTTACACCCCCCCCCCCCCCTGCAGCTTTTCTCTATGACTGTCCATTATCCTCAGCTCTTTCCCTTCTCATTATCAGTCATGATGGAGCATGACAGCAGGTCTCAAAGTGCTCAACTCCAAATATTGGCATAGAAGCGTATAACCAAACTTAATGACACAATTTGCCGCTGTCTCTGATGGATGAGAAGAACTCTGGGGATCCTCTGGCATTACTCAGTGACTAAAGGATCAAGTGGCAGGTGTTATTTAAGTGTTAAAAAGTGTGTGTGTGTGTGTGTATGTGTGTAACTCAGCAGCAGGATGACAGGTGTGGGAGGGCCACCTACAGATGCTGTCCTCATTATGGAAAGGTCAAACATCAAGCTTACACAGGTCTGTGACTTTGATGTTTCCATGTTGCTTTTAAGCAATGACTGTATAACTCATTAACAGATAAGTAAAGAAGAGTTCAAGCTAAATGAGATAAGTACAGTCAGCTTTTCTTCCAAAAAGATGGGCAAGATTAGTTTTTCTATTGCAAATGAATGAAAACAGGCCGAAGAGAATTCAGATTGATTCTGAACATCAGCACTTCATTGCTACACTTTCACCACATTAAGAACTATGGTAGTACAGATTGTAGGCAGTTCCTACTGTTGGTCTGATGGTGTATTAGAAAAGGAATTTGATCCGGCTCTTCAAAGTTAGAAAACAAAACAGAAGTATTTGCTCAATGTTTCATTATGATAAATCACTAACAACTACACAGTAAACATGTAAGCCAAGCATACTTTATTTGATGTTTAAAACTCATACATGTTTTTATTATTTTCTTTCAGTTGAGCACAGTGACTTTGACGGGTTAAAGAAACAGTTACGACTAATCCAAAAACATACAAGGACAGTTAATTACTGCACACATTCTTCTTTCAGTACTGTACGTCACATTGCTACCATCTATACATGAGATCCCCTTCAACAGTTTGTCTGTTGAAAACTTTTCAAATCAGCTCCTGAGCTGACAGTGGCTGAAGAAAAAAAACAGATGAACATTCCCAATTTCAGACTCAGTCCAGAGGTCAACAAAATGGACAAAAACCTCTCATCAAAAGCTCATTTAATTTGGAAGTTTATCCCCTTCAAGCCTGTATAAAAATAAATCACAGTCATATCATCAAACCCACATATATTCAACCCCTCTGTTCAGTTCACTCACACCACTAATCATCAGGACAACACCACAATTTTGGATGTGATTTTTAACCAGTTTATTAAGTAAAACTCCAGAAACACTCAAAACAACCCAAATGAAGTGTTCATACTGTCCAGGAAATAATTGCCACATCTGCTTCATCAAACGCTTTTTATGGAGAAGATGGATGTTAGTACGTAGCCGCCAAAGCATCCAGCTCCAGCCGTCTTGATCTTTTCATCCTGTGGTTGAGTAATTCTGAGGCCAGGAGGACTGGATGTCATTTAGTCTGTGGAGTGAGGATGTTTGTGCAGTCTTCTCCAAGTATGAACCACAGTGTAACAGTATGGTAACACCATTTGATACAGTTCAGGTGAGGGTTAGGGAAACGCCGGTATACAGAATATACCCACTAGTTTTTCAGTCTCCATAGGGTCTACCCACTTCTTAATCTTCTCTGATTCACACATTGAATTGATTGACCATATTCAGTAGGATGCTGCAATTCCTAAAATGTTGAAGGGATGAACCTCTCTACTCTGTCTCTAATTGGCTATCACGTGCACTAACTAAATATGCAAGAGGAGTCTAATGTCACTATTGGTAACAGAGGCCATTCAAATAATCATTTGGGGAAAAATAAGAGTATACCCACTTCTTCAGGCACCACTGGGGTCACTGTCATTGGTACGAAATAATGCAAATGAACTCTGTACAGCAAGGATGACACTTAAACTAGAAGTTCAGCCTCCAAATCACTGTGGCTATTCATTACATTACCTCAGTCATAACCTTCAGACCTCATCTGATATTAAACACCTTCAAACACACCTCCGATCGATTCCACAATCACAAAGGAAACAGCTGTTCCCTCCACAATAGTAGTTGCTGAATGACTTGTATGTATAAAGCTAATACAAAAGGTGGCTTAGCAAACAATGGAGTATTTTTCAGCTTAAACTTTATGTACCTGGTGAAGGTCGACAAGACCACAACCTTGTAGATTAGTAAATTATAAAGCTGGAAGTGAGAAAGTGTGCTGGAGATAGAGAACTTTAGTTTTGTTTCAAAACAACAGAAAATGAGCAACATTTTGTCTGCAGAGTAGAAGGGTTCTTCATGTCTGACAGCATGTGTAAGTATTTCCCTTCCCAAGGTCACTGCTGTATTTGCAGTTTTTTTTTTATCTGTACTTACACTGGATTCGACCTCTTCAGTAGCTTTTTTGCCTTTTCATCTCAAATATTCAGAGCTTTACAGACATGAATATCAACCGGCACAGGCTTTTTATGTATTTCTGTAAAAGCTGGCTGAGTGTGGTGTCACTAAAGTTCACTAGTGTCGGTCAGTAACATATGAACAATATGAACTGATGTGACCTGGTGACACATTTACAAAATGTACGCAGTGATTAATGTACCCAGCCATATTTCTCATATGTCTTCAATGTGAAATCAATGTGTTATGGATCCATCATTCATAGCCCTCAGGTCTGCATAATTTAAAGACACTGCAGTGATGTAAAGTATGTATCGCCAACAACAAGGAGTGTAAGAATTATGCATGGGCAGATGGCTTCAGGTTGGCATACAGCATCTGGGTATGCGTAGAGGGCATTGTAAAATGATTATGCATGTGGGGGCATGTGGCGGGATCATTCTGAATATTACCTCAGACGCTTGCGGTTGTTTGTGAGATGATGCATCTGCACCCGGATATTTCATGGAAATGTAATCTGAGTTGTAAATCAATGAACGATGGGGAGAAAAATGGAAAGAAAGCCGGAGAGAGAGGTTAGGTGTGAATTTCCTCATACCTGGGTTTAAGTGTACTGAATAAAAAATGACTCCTTTTTGTTGCTGCCTCTTTTTTCAGTTAGGGAGCCATTCTCTAGTTCAATCTGCGACTTTTGTTTTGGACCCTGTGATTGTCATGTATTGATTTAATTATAATCCTTGGTAGTGTTGGGCAATGCTTGCTTGCTTGCTTGTTTCTTCAGTCACATGAAAAATGTATTCAGTACAAGAATCGCTCCATGCTACTCGAGTTTCAGTTTTGTCATAACCCGATACGTGGGCCATGACAGAAGACAGGAGGAGGCAGGAGTTGCCAAAGTAAATGAATAATTTATTACTGAATTATGTAAATGAACTAACAATAAGAATAGTTGTGAGGTGTAGTTAGTCTATATCATCGGTGGGGTTTGAGAGCATAGTGTGGTGTTAGTTAATGAAGACTGCGTTAACACAAAGAACTATCGGCACCTCGGGGGGAATAAATGTGTTCTTTACTGTAATACAAAAAAAAAACCACACACACACTAAGCCGGCATTGTCACAGTTTATAAGGGATACTTTTGTAAGCATGACCAAATGATCAATGATCATCTGCTCCAGTATAATATGAGTTTTGCAGGTGTGTTTATGGGTAATTGTCCATTGCAGACTTAGCAACGGTCTACATTTCATCCATGCTGTCATCCCCACATACTTCTTCCAAAGTCACTTTCTTTGTTCAGTACGCTCAGTATGAGGACTTTTCTTAGGGAGAGACACTGGCAGAGTCCTGGTCATGGATTGACAGTGAGGCAGAACATTTCTCTTTAAAGACAGACATTGCTTTTACTGATAGGGACTCGAAAAATTAGAGGAGACAAATTACTTTTGTTGCTCAGATTTACAATAAAACCACTCATTGCATTGGTCGTGAAAATAACCAATTTTCTTCCCTCATGCGAATAAGCACACTGCACTGACCTAGTGTTACTATTCCTTGCGTTTATCTTTTACAGTTGCAGTTAAAAACACTTCCTCTTCAGTTGATTATATGCTAACAAGCTTTGGAAGTCTCCAGGACAACTTAGTTTAGTTTATTTGTTTATTGTTTCGTGGACAGTCCCCTTTAATTTACTGTACAGTAAAAGAAGCAGCTTTAGCCTTTACGACTAATTTCCAGCTAACCCAGTTGTCAGTAGGCAACCTAAAATGCAATTGTTCAGATTTAAAATACAATAAAATACATTACTTTTGTAATTACAACAGGCCTGTTGTAAAAGGAAAATAGAGGGTTAGGGTACAACATATCACACACAATTGGAGCAGGCACAAACAAAGCACAATCAAAGCAGTTCATGCAATAAAGACAATACTGGGGCAACAAGGGAAAAGAATAATCATAGAGGCCACATTGAAAGCACATGCAAGACATAACATGCAGGCAGACAGCAGCAATGACTATGTCACATCAAACACACATATCCCTTCTGACAGGGATTAACGTGTGCAGTTATAGTTGTCAGACAGCCATGTTTTAAGGAGTGTTGTAAAGGTGGAGTATCTATGTATATCTATGATAGTGGTGGGCAGTGAATTCCAGTTTTGTATTGCTCTAACAGAAAATGATAGCTGACCA